CAGACTTTTGTTCTAAAGTTTAATTTCAAGTGCTGTAGCAGGTCATTTTAGGTGATTTTTATTCACATTCTAGCCTTGTATATTTCAATTAATTTGTCCTGCGGCATGACAAATGTATTTTTAACGGAAGAAGTATTCTTGTCACAAAACCAGTATTTGCCCCGTATTTACCGTAATATGCCCAGTATTTTGCAAGTATATACCACAAAGCATAATTGTAAATGAAATATGTGAATTATAACAATATAATTATATAGCAGAACATTGCTGTTACTGTTTTAAATGGCATGCCTTATACAGCTCAATTGTCATATGGCACATTTTTGCTAATAAAACTTCAGAAAGTAACTGTATAACCTCAAGAATTGAAACAGTGACGCTATATTAATCTGTTGATGCGTCTAATAAATGTCTGTAAATGAGATTATCAGTGCATAAATAACTACAGAATTGGAGTGTCAGTGGCCTGCGGTCTGGCATGACAATCTACGGCCATCTCTCCATTTCATTTTAAGCCCAAAAGACCTATCGTTAGTACCAGTAACAGACAGTTACACTTGACATGAATAGAAATTGTAAAAGAGTTATGATTAATCGTAAGAAATGCATAATATATTATGATCTGGTTTGAACTGAATGAATGAACCCGTGATCAAACAGCATAAACTGAAGCTGTGCACACTAAAACCATAGCAATTATTCAAATAACTTATATGTAATGCGCAAGCAAGAACAAAAGCTGCATGTAAACATATCTTATATATCGGATTACAATAAATAAATAAAAAAGCCTATTTAAACATAACTGTAATGAAGTAACAATGCTAATGCTAGTGGATTAGCAGTTCAAATTAGCCTATTTTGTAGAAAACCTGTGGATTGTAATGACAGCAAAATATGATGGATGCAAGTTCACTACAACTGCAGGGCGAATGTTAAATCGCTGGTAGAATAAAACAAGACCGAAGAAATAAACGATAATAATTAGGTGCATGTTAGGCCTCCGCATCTCAAACGCTAATGCTAACGGCTATCTTCACAGACGCAAAACAGCCAATCAAGAGATCTCAGTGCCTATCTGGCACTATGACAGCTATAAATAACATAATAGAGCATAAAACGAATCCAGCAGACAGTCTATGCATACGATGATCCTAATATCTTACCATGATTATCAGATATGTTAGAAGAAACACTGGATGACCCCCCTGTGAATATGTCGTGTCATGTGACTGCTGTTTCTGCTGTTCCGTCTCATGATGACGAGCACTGCCCGCACACAACACAACAAGCCCCGAGACTGAGAGCTGTATTATTCATCTCTAAATCTCCGCGGAAATAACATTAGGAATTAAAATCAATTTATTTACTATAAAATCAATAGCTCGGTCGTATCATTAACTTACACAACTGAAGGGAAGGTGTTAGGAAAAAGTTTCTCAGAACAACATTAAAGTTGCATCTAATATAAAAAATATCTTGTATGCTTCTTTTAGACATGGTATAATTTGTCGAATAATTAAAACTAGTTAAAGTTTATCAGCGTTTTACCTGAACGACGCTTTCCACGCCCATTTTCTTGATCCACCAATGGCCGGTCAGAACGTTTATTTCTAGTGTGACACGTGTTTGTTTTCCCGCGAAATCAGCCTGTCTCTTTGCAAAGTCTGGTGAAGGATTCTGTTGAGTTGCGCTGAGAGGATCGATCATCTTTACAAATGGATAAAGAGTTGTTTAGTAAGCTTGCTTCGAAGATCGGTATAACATCTGTTAAAGTATTGAGGTAAGTGTAGTAATATCAGCCACTCGCTTGTTTTGGGAAGACATTGGTTCAGTCAGAAGTGAACATGTCAATATAACAACAGGACTAATTCGGATTCATTTTCAGCCAAGCAGAAGAGTACATGCGATTATCCCAAGTGAAATGTGTTGGACTGGGTTCTGTGACCGCCACCAGTAAGGCAATTATTTGCCTTGAGTTGGCAGCGACTTCAATGAAATTTCCTGTAGACAAGGCAAGATCATTTTTCTCTTTATGTGTAACATAAGCATACACATATGATGCAACGTTATGCATGTACATACATGCATACATTCACACTTAAGTATATTGTTACCTAATATGCATATGAATATGATATACTTTTTTTCGTATTCTTCTCACACATTTGTTTATTCACTTTAATATCTACTAACACTATCCAATAGTGGCCAATGCCATGTATGCATCATAGGAAAATTGTCTCTCTGTTTTATCTCTTTCCCTTGAAAGTCATGAAAATTACCACCAGTGGCATTTCGTCTCAAATCATGTGTAATAATAATGTAGCTTTCTGCGTGAAAATTATAATTATTGTTTAAGATTATTATTATCTTAAGGAATTTGCCTATTCCATTGTCTTGCCAAGACTATTTTTGATACAATTGTTCAATCAAGCACACAAATAATATTTAGACATTTTTATGTATCATTTAGAAATATTCTCTTTTCTTCATGTGTCATGGCTCATGTAATATTAATAATTGCTTATTAATAATTGTATAGCTTGTGAAAAAAATATATATATATTAGGGACAAAAAATAGGTGTAGTGGAAACTGAGATTGTATTTTTTTTTTAAATCGATAGTAATTTATCTCAATAAATGGTTTACACAATATGCTGTACATATCTAACATTATACACCTAAACATTTTTTTTTCTTGTTGTAAATGTACAACAATAATATTATTTCAATATTCTGCTGGATAGGAGTATGCCATCAAACTATCTGGCCTGAGTCCTAAGGTTTACTCCAGCAATTTGAAGTCTATGGAGTGCATGCTGGGCCTTCAGTCAAGCCTGGGTCTCAGAGATCTTGCAGTGCAGTATGGGTGTTTGGAAGCAGTTAAAGTGGCCTCTCAGATCCTTGAACGGTGAGACTTCACATTGCATCATTGCAATCAGCTTGAATTGATTCTGAATGACTTGATTTAATCTACATGTATTTGTTTAAGGTATGAGACCAGTTTACCCGCAGCTCAGCAACAAGACCTTGACCTATCTAAGTCTCTCTTTACCACTGCAGCTCTATATGCAGCATGCAAGTGAGTATTTTGAAGCCCTGAAATATGCTGTAATTACACATCATCTCTGAGTCAAGTAATGGAGAGTTCAAAAATACGTGTTGATGGATGGTTAGATGTTTGACACTCACATTAGATATAAATATTGATGGGAGCTCAACTGTCTCTTGAAAACTTGATTAAGCTCTTCACAGTGTGGTCAAAGTACAGTGAGGCCATAGTATTTTTAAATGAGAGAAATTAATTACATGCATACAGATTAATTTGGAGCTGAATTTACATTTGGAAAGGTCAAATCTTGGATTGGCCCTCACATGTTTGTTCCTTGTCCTTAGAGCTAGGTTATCTGCATATTAGATTCTATGAAAGTGAGTGCTCGCATAGGGAATCCAGCCGTATTGTGACTGTGTGACTGTTGGGTTATTGCTATCCAACCAAAATCTGTTACTGTACAATAATAAACTCAAGCTCCCAGATGGGTCAAAATGATTTTATGCATGTCAACAAGTCACAAAAATCTCTAAACCTAAACTTCACCTGATTTACATTTAATTATTGAAAATGGAAAAATAAATTGGTTCTGCCCTTCTTGTTTGAAGGTGCATGAAAATCAAAACTGACAGGAAATTAGCCTCTTCATCTGGAGCAAAGAAGGGCATCTTTGATCGGCTGTGCACACAGTTCCAGAAATTTGGACAGGAAATCTGCAGTAAGTGTGACGCCTTCAAACAAAAGCTTTTTAGAAAATGACACATTGCCTAATTAAAGCGAATAAATGCTCAAAGACATTTCTGTGGGAGGTTTCGGTCTGACATTCATGTTTAATGAAGATGTGATTGAAGGTGCACAACTTTTAATCTTGTTTATTTATTATAAAAGAAAAAATATTACTTCAAATAGATTTCTCATGAAGAAACAAGTCATTTTCAATAATTACCATGGTTACAGGCTCACTCTAATATCTCTTTGTACCATTAGAAGAGGCTTCATCTGTGGAGAAACCCGTCAAAACTGCTCAAAAGAGGCAGAAGTGTCTCAGTGAAATGCTAGAAAAGGCAGAAGATGGTAAGAAATCGACCTACTTGTCACAATAACTAATAATGGCTAATTATTTCTACCCATCAGCTGCCATTATGTGCACTAGATGATTATTAATGTAACCTTTTCTATTCTTAAGCATGTCTTCAACCTGGAAAGAAAATTTTCTTAAAGCAATACGACTAATAATGAATTCTAGGTGTAATATCTAATAATAGACAAATTTTTGTTTGTTTTTTTTTTAGATGGGAAGATTTCATCTCCAACATCTCCTAAGCAAGAGCGAGTTGAAAAAACAAAGGAGGAAGAAACACAAAATTATGAGGAGTGGAAAAGAAAAATCCTTGAAAATGCATTAAAAGCAAAGGCTGTAGATTCTTGAAGGTTTTAAGTTTCCCATTTATTTTAATAATGGCTCTGCATAATGTCAACAGGACTTTTGAGTTGGATTTAACAACACTCTACCAAGAGAAGTTGCCTGCCCCCCTCTGGCCTCTTGTGTGAAATTGTTTCATCCACATACAGACATTTCCAGAGGAATTGAGGCACTTTTTATCACTATTTTATTTGATTTACCAGGTCAAAGATAGTTACTATTTTAGATATTGTGCAAAGATTTGCCAATTTTTATGTTCCTCGTTTAGATAATATATTGCAAATAGCAATTTGTCATTCATTCATTTAGTTTGAGTATTTTTTTAGTCTGAGATTGTTTGGATGATTATGGTGACAATATGACTTCATTTCTTGGTGTTCTGAAGTATTGAATTAAAATCTCATTGGAGGTGTATAATGCATTCAAGATCGTCTAGATGTGATTTATCAATTTATTTCAATAATGCATGGCACATCTTCTTTGTTTGATTTTGATGTGAATAAAATGTGTTTTCAAGACAGTTTAATTTTCTTGGTTTCTCATGTTTTTAATGTCTTGATTAAACGCTCATTTTCTACAGAGGCTATTTTGTCACAAGTCTGTTAATAACCAATACAATGATTTCTATACTAGCACTATATGAGCTATGATAGAGAATTCCTTGCTAACTTCAGTGCTCTTTGTAAGTTGCTATGTCAAGATCAGAACCACCTTTGTTTATGTGTTTGTGGTTATGCAACTATAATATAAATGTGTACAATGCAATAAATTCGTAGAAAGCAGTTTTAAGTCACAATGTTAACATTCAAATGTTCTTGAACAACCAGTGAAAAGAGTTCTCATTTTAAATGACCATGACCATGCCAGTTGAGTCTCTTATTTAGATTTTGTTTCCAGATCTAATCAATGTGCTAAACAAAACATTTAGGATGACTACATCAAATCTTCATGCTATGTTATATATATATATATATATATATATATTTTTTTTTTTTTTACTAATATAAGATACTGAAACGAGAACCAAAACCACTTTCTTTCAAATACTAAGATAAGGCAGTAGTGCCCAAGAAAAACACCTTCACAGAAGGGACAACAGCTTTTCATGTGGTTCAAAAGCACACCTTGTGATCCATGCCGTACACTCCTGGTGTGAAAGCATGATTAGGTGAAAATTAAATGCAACAGTGTTTCAAACAAGGTGCATAAAAAAGACACGTTTTAACAAGATACTATTACACTGGCTATAAACAAGGCAAGAGCATATTAAACATTTTCTACAAAGCCATTTCAAATCGTTCAACAAATTGAGACATGTTCCTTTTCCAGTGTGTGACATTGTGATGTCCTCGTAAGCTACAGACACTGTCCTCCAGGTTAATAACTAATTTGGCACGCTAACTGATCTGCTCTGCTGAAACCTCTTCAACCTGTTTGCTGCAGTGACTGCATAGAAATGTTTCTGTAAAAACAAAAAGAGTAAACATAAGAGCTGGATCATGTGTTATGCTGATAAGCGAACACCATTTACATCTATCTATAAATTACAGGAACGTCTGTCTGTCTGTGTGTGTGTGTCTGTTAAAAAATCGAAAATGCGCTGACTCATGATTCCATACCTTCCACTGACGGTGAGCAGCAAGGTAACGCTGAAGCCTCATTTGTGACTTGAGCCGAACTTTGTACATCTTGGCTTTGTCCTCCAGGTTATTTAGCCAGCTATGCTTCATGCATCCTGATGCACTCAGACGGCTGCTGCCATAGAAACCACGCAAACACAAAAAACATTAAGGTCTTAAAAAAAAACCTGGCACACAAAGAACAACCAGTTCCAAGAGATGCAGAATACAATTCTTCTGTGTGATGACTGAATCAAATACTGCTTTTTTCAAGCCTTAGACAGAGATTGATCTTGAGCACTTACAATATATGAGAGACAGAGAGACAACTTTTGATTACTTGATGGTACACACTTGACAAAAAGCATGTTTGTTTTTTTTTTTGTTTTTTTACAGAGAATTAATTACACATTTTGATTTTCAATACCTTGCACTTAAAAATAAACAGTATTAATGAAAGGGCACTGAACTTTGCCAATTCCCATCCCAATACTCCCACTTGCAATCTTTGTACTTGAGCACTTATTTATCTGCATTATAATCGGCGTAAAGACTGCAAGTGTGTGTAGAACTTGTGATTACTTGATGGGACACGCTTGTAAAAAGCATGTTTTTTGTTTGTTTGTTTTTACAGCGCATTATTTACTAATTTTTACGGTGGCCGAGCTCACCGCGCTGCAACCTGATGAAGACGAATGCAAATACAAAAAAACGTGTGCAACTATAAAAACGCATGCAAATACAAAAAAACATCCGCAAATTAAGAAAAACATCTTCATCAGTTCCACAACACACGTGTGCTCCAAGTACTCACAGCACAACCAAATACAGAAACGCGCTGCAAACGTTCACAACACCACTGCAAATAACACGGTCCACAACGGAAATGTTTCCGGGGAACCAAATAAGTGACGGACCCGACTGGAACCACAGGACGTGCTTACAGCAAAAAACCTTTATTGACAAGAAGTCAAAGCCTATATATTTTTTTTATAAATAAACTATACTATTAAAATAATATTGTATATATAAATAATATAATATTATATATATTTTTTATAGTTCGTCTACACTCCTTGCTTACTCAAAATTCTACTTTGTATTATTTAATTTCTTTTGACTTTCCCCTGCAAAACACAGATATTCAAATTATTATGACATAAACTTGTGTACAATATACAACATGTGTTAACAATATGTTCAATGTCATCACAATACAAATGAGAAAAGAACAATGATCTGAAAACTAATCTAAATAAATAAAAAAAAGATCTAGAAGAACATGAAGGATATTAATCTATCAGTTACACTATACAAATAGTTTCATTTTATGTTTAAATTTTCATAAGAAAAGTTTCCTAAAAATGTTAGGTAATTTATAGCACTGACATACAGATGTATAAAACGGATATTTTAACACATTTTTATAAAGTAAAAATAAAAAATAAATAATTTATTTGCAACCGTTATGTTAATCATTATATTTCTGTTGTCAGAACAGCTATACAGCTGATGGACAAAGTGCTGCGTTGTCATAGGAACATCCTAACGTTAGGTAAAATAATTACATTATGTTGTCTGTTGTTGCTCCCTTCATCAAGTTCCAAACGGCTACATAAATGACACACTAGTGTCATGCTCACGCCAAATTCCCACTTGAAGAGCTTTGCCGTCTGCCCTTTGAAGGGAGTAGGGCATAGGGAAGCTCACGAGCATAAGCAAGTCCGAGTTGGGTCCGTCACTTATTTGGTTCCCCGGAAACATTTCCGTTGTGGACCGTGTTATTTGCAGCGCGTTTCTGTATTTGGTTGTGTTGTGAGTACTTGGAGCACACGTGTGTTGTATGCATTCGTCTTCATCAGGTTGCAGCGCGGTGAGCTCTCTCGGCCACCGTAAATTTTTATTTTCAGTACTTTAAAATAAACAGTACTAATGATACTTTGGCATTTTTTCAGACCTGAGGCAGTCTTGCGTGCTCAGCATCAAGTGTTCAAAACCCCAAGTTGGGGGTATAGAAACAAATGTTTGTGCAAATGTTTGGCTAACCATGCTAACATCTGGCTAACTGTGCTAACGTTTGGCTAACAGAGACAAAAGGCAGATAATTGAGTGAGAGGAATAGATGGTACCCTGAAAATTACTGAAAGGAATGTTCTCAATTAAATAAGTCGACCTCCCTGAGAGACAGCATAAAATTTGAGAATTGTGCGCAAGTGCATTTGTACCTGTAAGAAAGACGTAATCCAGCTGATTATACTACATAATCATCATGCAATTAATCCACTAATATTCTGATATGATATGAATCACATGGCATGTGTGTGGGGGGCTATGATGTGGTTATTAGACAACATTGTCACCACAGATAAAGAGAAGGGAGGAAGGCCAAGGTGGGTGTCATGCTGCGTCTAAATGCACCTTGTCAAAGTGCACTGAATCATCTCTTCTACCGCATAGACTGTGGTAAGATGGTGGGCAAAAGACAATGCACCCTCTCATGGCAACCTGCTGTGCCAGCCTGCTATTATCTCATGCCAGCTGAGCGTTACAGCCCTTGTGTGGGAGAGGTTAGCTAAGACAGAGCAATGTGAGGGTGAGCTTCAAATGCTCTAAACTGATCCAGGCCATGTTGCATCACCGGCCAATTATATGTTATTTGTGCCCATTTTTGGTGTACTGAACAGCACTGCATTTTCAGAGGTTTCAGTTTTGATGTCAGGGTGCATTAAGGGAACCTGCACAGGATAATGACTGAGAGATGGAAGAGAAAAGTGAGGCTCTTAAATCCAGAAGAGACCAGAAAGGAGGAGAAATAATAGAAGAGAGGATATCGAATTATGTGGGATAGAAAACTTGACTTGCGGTATATAAGGTTTTCAGTTAGAGGAATAATGATAGATGAATACCATTTAGCGGGCACAAGGAGGCTGGAAATGAAGTCTTTAGCTTCTTCTGACACATGCTCAAATGCCTCTGCGTCAAATTCCCATTTGGAGTGCAGAATGTTGTTCATTGTTTCTGTGTCATTGTCACCCAAGAATGGAGAAAGGCCACTCAAACTGGGGAAAAAAATAAAAATCAGAGGGAGAAAATCTGTTATCTTCTCACAATTAATCAATTGTATTTGCATTTTTGCTCATATGCTTTGGTTAAAAACTTCCATTAAATAAATAAATGGTGAATGGTGAGGTACATGTCATTTCTATATATTCTAATACATTTTCAACATTCAAGTTGTGTAAATTAGTTGATTTATTATGAATTAACAAATTAACAGTTAACAATTGATACTTAATGCATGAATTAAAGTTCATATTAAACATAGTTGTAAAGTGTTAGTGAAGAAATATATATATATATTTACATTTTAAAGTGTTTAGATACCGTTTTGGCATTAAGGTTGCATAATTTAAAGTATATATATATATATATATAATTTATTATTATTTTTTAATTAAATTTTGCAAAAAAACGGTAATGGCAGCTGTTAAATAAAAAGCCATAATTCAGTTTGAGGAATAGTTCACTTAAAAATGAAAATTCTGAAAATGAAAAGTTTCAAACCTATATGAGTTTCTTTCTTCTGCTAAACACATAGGAAAATTATTTTGAAGAATGTCGGTAACCAGACAGTTGATGAACACCATTGACTTCCACATAAGGAAAAGAAATACTATAGAAGTCAATGGGGTCCATCAACTGTTTGGTTACTGACATTCTTCAAAATGTTTTCCTATGTGTTTAGCAGAAGAAAGAATTACAGGTTTGAAACAACTTGAGGGTGAGTAAATGATGACAGAATTTTCATTTTGAAATGAACTGTTCCTTTAATACAGTGATTGCTGGACACTTTTGGGTGTTCAGTTCTTAGAGAAGTGTGAAGTAGGTTAAACACATATTCTCTGGATGGGCAAGCCCTAAATCTCCACCAACAGCTGTCAAGTAATTGATTCATTCATTGAGGCTTGACCACAATTGGCCAGAGCAGTGGGTCATCTATGGCCAGTACAGCAGCACTGCTCATGGAGAGCAGAGTGATGAGTGCACAGGATAAGACATGGGACATTTTGTTTGTTTGTTTTTTGACAGCATTAAGAGCAGCAGGATTGGTAACATGCTTTCTGAGCTGTACGGCACTGGTGCCCTTTTATCAGGGCTCTATTGAATGATGAGGGCTCTTAGAAGAGCCCTCTAAAGCTTTCACATGCGTTCCATTTGGCTTTTGATCTTTCTAATATTTCACTCAGGAGTCTACACCAATGGGTAATTCTGAGTATGATGAAAGTGAAACTTCTATAATGCATAAATCATCATATAATAATTCATAATTTATGAATGTCAATTCTGACTCTTTAATTGCAATTAAAATTTGGACCTGCCTTACTGCCTAGTTGCATACTCACAGCATGTATGTGATGACACCAACACTCCACATGTCTGTAGGAAATGACACAAAGTCATAGTTGACAACTTCTGGTGCCAGGAACTCTGGGGTTCCGAAGTTGACCTTCAGCTTTTCTCTGGGTCTATACCTGGTGGGAGGGAATAACACATTTTTTGGTTTTGGATCCTGTATCATGCCCATATGAAAAACCAAACCCAAACGCACTAACTCGCAACCAAAACTGACTCAACAAAACCTTGCCAATGAGAACACCAGGTCAGCTAAGAACCAAGAAGTACGTTTTGACTTAAATTAGCTGAGCATCAAAGACCATAAAACAAAGACCATTCAGTTATGCGTTTTTGCACTCAACGTATCACGTAAAATAGTCACTGGATCTGTACCTCTACCTCCACACACATCTGCAAATTTGTGAGATGCATAAGCAGCCCAAAATTACATTCCCAAACCTTCACATTCAATGTACCTCAGTGGTATACCAATCTTCCCAACAATGAATCCCTCTCCACTTTCAGAAAACTACTTTTCTCACTCTGTTCTTTTCTGTTGTAATTCTTTAAGCAATTCCGGTACTTTGTATAGTGTCACTTCTCAATATGCATTGCTATTGTTGTAGTTTTTCTCATTTCTAAGTCATTTTGGATAAATGGAAAAAAAATAAACCACAAATCTCACACCAGTGCTTTACTCGCTCACAAAAATTCTTACCTTAAAAGTTATGCCAGTTACTAAAAGTTAAAAGGCACAGTACATTTTGATGACTTTGTAAGGATTTGGATTGTTTAATAGATTTAAGCTTTAAATCTCAAAGTAAACAAAGCTCTCGAAAATGATCACGCATGAAGGAATGTGACTGTAGTCATGGTGACAGCACAGTGGTGTGAATCAGAAGACATGATGCCAGCTAGAAACACATACTTTGTTTTTTGTGGGAAATTAGGGACATAATTACCCTAGAGAAAAGAGCTTCTTTTTGTAGACTTAAAAGAAATGAGATGTCAATAAGCCTACTATTTAATAACAAGATAATTTAGTGAGGTCTGCTTACTTACTTTCTGGCGAGTCCAAAGTCAATGATCTTGATCTGATTCCCTGTGCTGTTCACACATAAGATGTTTTCTGGCTATGTTGCAGAAAATAAAAAATATATATATATATTTGAAAGAAATAAGATTTAAAATACATTTAAACTGATTATTAATTCTAAAACAGGAACAAGTATTTCATACTAAAGTCAGGATTCAAATGTATTGTTATGGGGTATAGGGGTACAACATCCTATACCATTGTATGCATTCCATATTCCCATACACCACATGTTAACAACAACACAAGGCACAAGCCCACTGGCAGCGTGCTAATTCAAATGTGCGACATTCAGTCTGCTGATGTTGACATATGTGGGTGATTCATTGGTGGATTTTTCCATAGAGATACCCGACACTATATGCACTGCTAATCCCATCAGTATCACATTATAACATTCAGTGCAGTGTGTGGAGTTTACCTTAAGATCTAAATGGAGAATGTACTGCTGGTGAAGGTACTGAACCCCCTCACAAATCTGCCTGGTAAACACAATGGCATCCATCTCCGTCAGCTGGTAATTCTCATCAATGATTCGGTCAAACAATTCACCACCTTCCACACTGAAATAACAAACCATCACAAATGGACTCCTCTCTTTTAGTTCAGTGTAATTGGATATTGAAATTAAGTGGCTTAAGCCATGTGGGTACAAGTAGTTTTAAATGCTAAAACAAAACTGAATTTTGACACTCGTTCCTTGTTGTGGTACCTTTATATAACAGTATCTTCCAAAAATCTACATCATTTATAGTTATGTCTTGTATTACAAATATGAATATGTGCCGCTATTCCATACAATTAAAAGCTTTTTTTGTAAATTCAATAGCAAAAAAAAAAAGTTAATTTAATTTGTGGACAAGACATGAAGATGACACACACCAAAGTGGCATGTGTGGGAGCTCTATGTTCTTGTGACAGAATGTGAGGACCAGGCCAGGAGAGAAAATTTGCTTTGCAAATGAGGCCTGATGAATACTGTCCAAAGCCACTAATCAGCCTGAATAAGTTAGAAATATATATATATATATATATATTTTTTTTTTTTTTGCAGAACTTTAATTGTTTTAATTAGAGCTACTTAATCGAACCTTTCTAGTACTTGGAAACAATCATTCTGATTTGAACTAAGATCTCTCTGTGGTTTACTTACTATTCCATAATGAGTGTGAGGTTAGTCCGAGACTCGAACGCATCGTACAGCTGAATCAGGTTCACATGGTTTAACTGGTTCATAACTCCAATCTCATTTTTCACTTCATCCTGGAATGAAAGCACAAATAAATAAGTAATTCCAAAGCAAATGCATTTTAATGTGCAACAGCTTTTTAAAGCCTATATTTTATGTTTTTGAAATGGTGTTGTTATTACTCTCCAAAGGATAATAGCAGCACTTTTAAAAATTGGGTTATTAGTTAGAGAGAAGCTTTTTCAGAAATTAGATTGCAGTTAAATAGCTTGAAATGAATTTGCAATGACTGCATTGGGTATCGCAAAAACAAGCGTTTCGGAATGGAGGTTTGACAGCCTTTGCCAACCCTGTAATTGTCTGCCCTAGTTACTCTAGCTCTTCCTGTCCTCCATTATATGACCTACGAAAAGCATTCAATTATCCCATATGAAGCTTCTCTGTCTCTCCCTGGCATACATTGGAGCAGATGGCACATGCAGCAGGAATGGCACATCATGTTGCCACTAAGGAGTATTTCCAAATGCAAATGAAGCTTAGAGAGAATAAGTACACTGTATGTGATTTTGTGTTGAATTATTTTGCTCTTTTGACATTTGTGTCGTGTGGCAGAAATTAATGAGAGTGGAAATTATCTGCATTTGTCCATTCCTGTCTGATTACTCTCTAATGGTGGCAAAAGACAGACCATAGGGCAGAGAATGACATTGCATTAAGGGCAAGTGCTGCTTATGACAGACGTGCCATTATGTAATTATCAGCACTTGTTGAAGAATGGAGTATGAAGGGAATCGATAAAAGTACATGTTATTCTGTGCAAAGAAAAGATGTATATTTCACATTACACTGTATATACTGTAAATACACAGTGTAATGTGAAATATAAATCTTCCATTGCCAAGTAAGACATTTTCCTGGATCAACATATTTTACTGATCCTGGAAAAAACATTCTAGTCCCAAAATGTATCCCTACCCCTAATCCTAAACCTACCCATAAGTTATCCTTGAAATCAGAGGGAAATGATAGGTGAATAACACTATATGATAGGTGAATAACAAACCCTGGTTGTAAGCCTAAACTTGACATAAACTTGTCCCTTAAATCATTGATTGATTGGAAAGTTGTTTCAGGATCAACACAGATGCTGAAGAACATGTATTTGCTTTTAATGCAGATACTAGAAACAACATGCGCTTCCATATCCTTGAGGGACTATGGGTGTTATTATGTTATTTGCGGGAGTGCAAGTGTGTGTGTGAATGTGTGAATGTTTGTTCATATGCTCATATGCAGAACTGTCAGCAGTTGTCAAGGAAATGTTCTCATAAAGCATAACAGGAACAGGGTGATGGACAGATTGGAGTGGGAAGGGAGAGAAAGAAAGAGCAAGCGGGGTAAACATGTTTGAAAAGCTCATAAATGCTTTTATGCGTGTTTTGTACTCACCCTCTCTTTCATTCCCCGGACCTTTATAATTTTAGCAGCAAGCATAAGACCAGACGACAACTCTGCACACTTGTGTACCTGTCCAAAACGGCCCCTGCAATAACACACGTAAACACAGATTTCATTTAATGGATTATGGACATCACTTCAACCTTTGTGAAAGTTATGTCACTATCTGCTGCTGTTCGTCTCACTCTGCACTTACTGGGCTGCCTATTTACTTGGAACTGTTTGTCCATGGGGTGAGATTATGTGTTTATGTCAAGATGGCTGCTGTGGCTCAAAATAATACCAATGCAAACAGACCAGCTCAACACCTGTCTAAAATAAACTCTGCCGATGATGAGTCAAAAACAAGCCAGTGCTTACTTATTTGTGGCGTATGTGGAACAAGAGTGGAGAGGGGGTGCAAATGAGCCCTTGTCTATGTGTACCAGTCATTCAACTCAAAGCTTTATGTTCCTTCTGCCGGTCCAGGAGAAATAGCCCCCAGCCCCCCTGTCACTCCCCACAATCTAATCTGTGGCACTAATGTCAGCATGTCAGATATAACTGGCCTGGGAGGAAACAACAATATACAGATAGTGCCAAGAATAAATGTTAGTGAGTATCAGATCTACAAGTATTATCAAAATACTTTTTATTTATTATATATTTATATATATATATTAAAGAACATTTTGTTTGTGTGTATAAAGAACACAAGTTTAATTAAAATTGTGAGGTACTGTCATCCCAGTACAGTTCTTTCTGACTCATTGACTGGAAATATCATTAGAAAACATAGTTTTATTTTTTTAACTGTTAAGATGATACTCAGCTAGTTCTTTGCTGCCTGACAAAATATGCCCATTCATAAAACAAACTGAATGCAAACAAATATTGGATCACTAGTAATTTCCTACAACTAAATACTGAAGAGAAAACCCCCAGACATTTTAATTATTGGACTAAAAATGTCTGCAAAAATATAACCTAGAACACTCTTTAACACTTGGATGGTGTATTTAGTATTCGCCAACAGTTGGGAACCTGGGTGTATTTCATTTCAAAACCACATTTCTACTTTCTAGCATTTACAAAACCTTATTTTCCATCTTAAAAATATCTCTAAATTATGGCATATGCTCAAAAATGACAAATGCTGAAAAGTTAGTTAATGCAGTCATGACCTCAAGGCTAGATTAATGCTTTATAATAAAATAAATAAAAAAACTAGTCCAAAAGGCAGCTGGTTCTTACAGGAAGTATGACTATATTGGCCTGTTTCTGTCAACACTGCATTGGCTACCTATTAAACATCTCATACATTTTTAAATCTTGTTGATTACTTATAAAGCCCTATTTAGCACCTAAATCAGCATGTTTAAATCTAGACCAAAAACACATCTCTTTAACCTGGTATACACAAAGAAGAACATTATACATGTCTATGATTTAAATCCCTTAATGGATTGGTAGGCTGCATTAATTGGGTCAACTGGAACCGGTAACACCTCCCACAACATCCGATGTACTTGTTACATTGTAAGAGGAATGCTATCTATTAGTCTGTCTCTCTCATTCTTATCCTGATGTTACAGTCAGCAGTATCTGTTTCGTATCTGTATCTACTATTAACTGAGCTGGATGATGATATGATTAATTAAGTTTACACAGTTTATTAAATCAAACTGTATCCACACTGTTTTCAAATGGAGAATGGCAGTTTACTATCGTCTTTTTAGAACTTATATCCTGCAGAATTTAATTCAGTTTGCATCGAACCATTATTTATCACTGTAAACCTGCTTTGAAACTATCTGTATTGTATAAAGCGCTATAAAACTAAAGGTGACTTGACATAACTTGACTTGATTACACAGAGGTTAAATTAAGCAAGTAGTATTATTATATTGATAGTATTATATTGATAATTCAACAAAAAAAAAAACGAAAATTCTGTCATCATTTCGGCGTCGATCTGTATCATATTATTGGTAAAAGTTAAAGTTTGGTTATTCTTCAAAATATCTTCTTTTATGTTCCACAGAAGACAGAATGAGTAGCCTAAATTATGACAGAATTTACATTTTTGGGTAAACAAATGAAGAGTTCAGATGCAAAAGCCTCTAAATGCCATTTGAAATTTTCTTCTTTAAGGATGATTTTTGTCGAACTTGTATATTTAAGTTCAGTAATTTCACTTAAATAACAATTAATAGGTAATTATCATTGCCATTTAAGTGAAATCACTGAACTTAAATATACAAGCTTGACATAAATCATCATTAAAGAAGAAAATTTCAAATGGCATTTAGAGGCTTTTGCATCTGAACTCTTCAAATGTGTTTATCCTTTAGCACATGGACTCACCCGCCCAGCACATCATTGGGGTTGACTGCGTAATATGAGTTCATGGGAACCTGCTTGGCACTGACGATGCGATGCTCGAATGGAGCTGGAAGAGATGGACTGTCATCTAGAAAACAAATATCAGCATGCTGGTTTTATTGAACACTACAAGTTGTATAGTTCTAATTACAAATTATGGATTTGATTTTGAGTTGTAAATTGGTTTAGTTTTAAGTTTAAAGCCTAACTGATCATTGTGTCACATGGTGTTTACTGGTGTCAATTGTTCATTTACATGCTGTCCACTGTTTGCTCATCTTCTAAACAAATTTGCTCAGATAGCATGCATGACTGATCATAACATGCACACATTGCTGTCAATGCCTTTTCCTAAAGGCTTTGATTTGAGCTCGTTTCATGTGTAAAATGTATTCTCTGTCATTCCCACACTCATTATTGAATTGAGATTTTAGATGTTTATGTAGTCTATAATATTATGCTACCGCTATCTCTGGCTCACAGTGGAACGTGTCAGATTCAGACGAATATTATTCGGCAGCATTATTCGTTATTTGTTTTGAAGCCATTATCCGTGCCTATCCCGATTAAGGTATTCGACTTCGGGCACATTTCACTTACTTTCAAAGGAATAAGTACGTTTACATGCGCAGTTATAAATAAACAGTGGGTTTTTGTGTAGGCTAGTCGAATTAAAAAAATAATAATGATGTGAAATTATTTAGGCTATAAAATAGAAAAAGATCAATTGATTTCATGGTGACTTTAAGGATCCGGAATCATAAATATTTATTTCAAGATTTCCATTTTTAGCTAGAAGTGAGTGCATATCGACACAGTTTCACTTGAAGGAATGAATCACTCACCGATGATCAGTAGCTGTGTCTCTTCTTTTCTCAGAGGTGCTAATTTAGCTTTTTCTTCCTCAACAAAGGTTGTGTTATGTGGACTAGGAGCGGCACAGTTCTTTATTGGGTCAGACTCCAAAATGATTGGGTCAGACTCAGTTTTATTTTCATTTCTCTTGATAGCTGGCTCAGATCCTGTCTTTCTCTCATCATGTTTTGGCACAGGTGCTACCATCTCTATTGTGTCTTTATGTTGTGACTTAACCTCTGCATCCTTGTTGAGAGGCTCTTCGGTGCAGAGCTGAGTTTTGTGAGGAACATCCACCTTCTTCTCCAGCTTTTGTTTCAAAAGGGCCTTGTCGCCAACCTGTGAAACCTCTGTCTGTTTGTGAGGAACCTCAACCTTCGGCTCAACTTGTTGTCCATTAAATATCGTCTCGAGTGAAGCCTCATTGCCATCCTGTGAAACATCTGCCTGTTCATGAGCCCTGTCAATAATCAAAAGAACAACCATTTGTTCATTTTTCAAAGGTATAACAATGGATGTGAGACCTTCAGTAAATCAGTTAAACATATGTAATGGGAATCAGCAAATGTAGCATAGTAGGCATGGATGTCCTCATAATAAGGGTGTTATGTATGAAATATTATGAGGCTGCATGTGAGAGGCTACTATGAACAACAGCCCAACAAACCCAATTACATAACAAGGTCCATAACTGGAATGTTTTGTATAAAAATAAACGGCCTAAAACTCATAATGCCTGGCAGGTTGGCAACATGCATTCAGTCACCACTGCATAGTGTAATCTCAAGACCTTAGCCATTAGTCTAATGAATTATACTTCCCACCATGCACAACAGCCTATTATTTCAGGCAGAGGGTCTTTTGTGCCTCAAAGACACAGAAAACACATTAATAATACAGAGAACTTGCATGCAGGTGCATTATCAGCACTCTGCTTTGTAAATCTCATACGACAGAGGAGAAAGGCCCGGCTGTATGATTTTGCCTTACAGAATTTAGGAAGGATCTGTTATAGATGTGATATTTATTTTCTGGTCTGGTCAGAGCTTATGTTATTTAGAGTAATATTCACCGAAAATGTTCAAAAGTTATATTTAAGTTAAGTTATTATTTTATAACCACTTTAGCAGGGTTAATTACAATACTCTGTAAATGTGAGCCATCTAATCTCTAATCTTCTATATAAAAGTGTAAAAGAGTCCATTAGCAGATGATGCCAGTGAGGATGCCACAAATACTCTATGTAATTATCTCAAAAGGTGGCCAATGACAATGTTCGGTCTTCCATTATAACCCATTTCCCTTTCAGGCCATAGTCATTTTTGACACTTTTCTGCTACAGTCTTAGAAAGCCAACATATCACAGACAACATCCCTTTTAAAATTCAATGCAGACGGAAAATGCACACATTTTTTACAGCATTTTGCGTTGAACGGTTACATTCAGCTTAAATAGCAGTGGCAATATAATTTGTCACCTCTCTTGCTGAAGAGACGAATCTTTTTCCACTTTAGTTGTTGTCACAGTGACACATTCAGCATTAGCTTGTGTAGCGGTTGAGCTGTCTGTCTCTTGCTTGGGTACACAATAAATGTCAATATCCTCAGCCTCCAGCTGGATTTCAGGACCAAACGTCTGGACCTGCGCAGGCGCTCTGCTCTTCACTGTGACTTCTTTGGCCTTTCGTAAGTCTTTGGAGATTTCTCTAACAGGTATCTGAGGTTCACTTGCTCCTCTAAGGGCTTCAGGAGAAGGTAGGCTGCTGGGATCAGTGGGAACAGTGACCTCCGGCTTCTGCAGCTCAGTCTCAGCTGTGGATAATCATAGAGTCAGAATCACTAAAACATGTTTTGTGCATTGAAATCCATGCAGGAAAAGGCTCTGACATCAATTCTCACAAGATGTCTTCTTAATAATAAACATTTCTAGTCCATAATCTGCTGAAAATATATTTTATTCATACCTGTAATCACCTCCTCTGAAGTCTGTGTGCTCTGGTGGCAGTAACTGTCATTTGGTTTAATGCTGTTGCCATCTGGTTTGTTTTTCTATGAAAAAAAAAAAGATGCATTATACTTTTGTTGGGTTTTATGCAGTATTGACTGATGGAAACTTTTATTTCACTTTGTCAGCTTTCTTCTAAGTCCTGAAACAGAAGTGTACGTTTTGTATTAACATATTAACAGAACAGAACTTGAGCCTGTTAAATAATCCCTCAAACATTGCATTGGATGTTTTTATGGATTCAATTTGGAAAAGGTAGATACTACATTAGGTAATTATCATCATTTGATCTTTAAACATTATGTGGCTGTGTGAATTATAAGAAAACTTGATGTTGATGATGATGATGATTATGGTTATGGTGGAGCAGTAATAGTCAACCTGTTTACAGAATGGCACTTATGTTCACCATGTGGAAGGCTCCATTTTTGTAAATTGACTTGGATACAAAAGCACTTTCACTTATTTTTTAAATAAATGCAGCCCTTAATTGACAATATAGACATATGTCTATGTACAACCAGTTAACCAAATGGAATATTTCATCTGACAAGCTGTTCTGAAAGAAATTCACATTTACACTGTACTTAAAGTAGCCTACGTATGTTTAAGGTTTGGTTTTAAAGTGTGGTTTTGCTATTGCAAAACTAGTTATACTCAGTCACCATCAGCTCAGTCACACACACATCCAGTCTAGGAATTTGAAACACGAGGCCCGTTCAGCCTCATCATAGATAAAATAGCAACCTTGGTAAAAGGTTAGATTGCTGTAAACTTAACATGCTTGCTAGCAAGAATAGATCAGCCAACAGAGTAAATGGTGGATACAATTGCAGGGACATTACCCCTTTTTCTATCTATCTATGCAAGAAAAGGGAAATTTAGCTAGTTTGACCATTGTAAATGCGTTACCAGTGGGGTATTTCTATCTTTTTCATACTACTCTAAATTATATTTAGTCATCTTTTGAGCTGTAAAGATCACCTGACACACTGTAACAATTATTTGTTATAAGTTATTAAAAACTGTTTTTGTAAGTTATACAAAAGTTAGTTATACTGAAACGCTGTGTAATGCAACTAAATCAAATTATAACATGCATAATGTACATAATTATTAAGGATCTAATGTAATAAAATAAAGAAAAATAAAAGTTCTTAGAACAAAGTCTATACAGCATGTTCAGTCTTTACTATGCTCTTTTTATCAATCCAAACCATCAATATCTTGCACATTAGATATTATTTCACAGGCTGTTTTGAATTTGTCCTCATTTTCAGCGACAGCTCCAACTGTAGTAAACAGTTTGGAAAATAAACAGCCCAGATTTAACCTCTGCCGGATCTCTTGTGGATATCAGATAACCTCTGTATTTTTCTGTTTATATTTTTGCTGCAGAGACCTTGGATGACCAGGATCTTACTGACCTCTTCCTCTACAGTGTCCAGAGGGCCTTGTCTTCTCCATGGCACCACTCCATTGAGGATGAACTCCACTATTTTTGAGTTACGGAAAGCATCTCCCACATACCCTATTACTTTCTCCAGAGTGGACAAAGAACTTTCCATACATTCGATCTTCTTTCTCTGCTGCTGACTCTCCTGCTTGAGATTATGAAGCAGATCCACAGTTTCCCCACAAAGTGACCTGACCTCAGTCAGCAAAGGGAGCTTGTTGCTCTCTCGCTGGCCATTTTTGATCCCGTTTGATTCTTGAACCCCCTGCTTGTGCTGCACAAGGCTCCTTTCTAGTGCCTCCATCCCTTGACACAATAAGCTCAGCTTGTGAAGCACCTCTGTCTGGGTAAGTTCAATCTGTTCCACCTTCCCCTCCAGGTTGTTTAACTTGACCTCCACATTGCTCAGACTACCTATCAGAGTTGGACTCGGCTTCTTGACTGTCCCAGATGGAGTTCCGGAGTTCTCCGGCCTGCTGCCTTCATACATCTTGGCAATACAAGTGGCCAGAGTCTGTTTACTCATGGCTGCCGCAGTCACACTCAGTGCAATGCGAAAATGCAGAAAAAGAGGAAGCCCCACTGATCAGTTCCCCCGTTGGTCTCTACTCTTGTCTATTGTGTGCCTCTTACAAAACAGACAGCTCAGGCAACCCTGTTGTTGGTACGTGCCAGAGACATGACACCACTTAAATAAACACCTCCATCGGGTATCTTATCTCTCCACTTCTATTTTGCGTCCCCTTCTCTCTCTCTCTCTCTCTCTCTCTGGGCCTTTTATATGAGCTATAGTGGGCCTTGGTGATTGCCAAAGTTCCAGCGCTCTCAGTCTTGACGTCACCAAAACATTTAATTTCTCCTCAGCAGATGCTGCTGACAGGTGGGCATGCAAGGAATGACCTCTGTAAATGGCCAGTCATTAGGTAGAGACAAGAAAGTTGGTATCTCTCTCGTTCATTGTCTTATCACGTTTTCTTTTTTAATTCATTGCTACACAGTAGCATCCATTTTGATTTGAGATTCAACCATTGGATCCACCCTATCACAACTAAATCACCTATGACACCCTCGTCATTGGAACGTGACGTGACATTGGTTGACATTTTAAGTAAAAATAAACCTCTGTGGACATGGGTATGAGGATTAATGATATGCTACAACTGCCTCTCTCTCACCTCATCTGGAATGAAACCATGGTTAATACTAAATAATTAGCAGAATCGTTAAGCTTCAACAAACGATAAACATAACAAACCAAACATAAATACAATCATTTAAAGACAAAGTTCATCAATCAACGCATGAGTGCAGCTCTTTTTATATAATACAATTTTATTTTTTGTTAATATTAATTAATATTTATACATTACATTTACAGTTGTAAATTAAAACTAACTAATGAATTATGAATTAACATGACAAGCAATAAGCTAGATTTATAATTAATATTAATTAATAAATTAGTTAGCCTAGACTAGTAAAAAAAACTGAATGCTGTTGTAAAGTTTCACCCTATTAAGAGGTTTTAAAGAACTTATTAATTGAAAGGAACATACAATAAATAAATAAAAAGAAATGTGCAGAAAGTCTGTAACTTGCCAAATTCCTGTAGCTCAAAAAGTTGCATGCTATCAACGGCAAGGTCATAGATTTTATTCCCATAGTCTGAACTGATTAAATTATTAACTTTAATGTGAGTTGCTTGTCAACCAAATGTATAAGATAAAAGGGGCTGCTGGAAGGGAAACTTGAACACTATGGATGTGTTGTTTCTAATGCCAATTCTAAATGTGTAAGCCAGGGACTTTTTGTCTGAATCCTTCATGGCTTTCTGCTGTGTTCGACTGCCAAAACACAATACTCACAATATAGTATAACCTAATTATGTAATAGAGCTGGAGGCCAGGATCAGGACAGCCATAGGAATGTGTCTCCATGCTGACTATTTGGTGTTGGTGGTGGTGGGATGAAGGGGGTATCTGTTATTACAAGCTGGCACAACATAAGCAACTCAATTTCCAGTCCACAACATAACTCGGGTAAGTAAGATAGCGTACATCACTAGGAAAGAATAGTACACAGTGTGCATTAAGAGGAGAAATCTGCTGGTCTAAGTCAGCTGCTAAACTGCTGTACTTGTGGTCCATCATGAGCTTTGTTAATGGATGCTGTTGTTGATAGTGGCATATATCCTTGCCCTCTCTGAAGGGAATGTTTGGACTGTAGTCTCGTTTTACAATCCCTTCTGTACCCTGACATAAATGTTTGACATGGCAGGGACCCTTAGCGTTAAAGGTTGAAAGAGCAGATAGGTCCGTGTCCCACTTCTGTCTTTGACAAGAGCACTCAAGGGTACGGTGTGTAAATTTTATGTAAATCCCATTACGGTTCAAACCTTTCAATAAAAATACACTTTGAGTGCTATGAAGTGTCGGGATGAATAAAAATTCAATCAGTTGTTACTTATCACTAAACTAAATATGCTTTCTCGAAATAAATTGTTTCTCTTCTTCACTCACTCACGTAGGCTAATTGCCTTTTCCTGTTTCGTCTTTGCTCTGAGAAAAGAGATGAGATTGTGCTGCTGATCTACAACATCAACAAAAAATGTTACAGACAATGATCAATTTGTCAAAAGTCCAAAGGGCACTGTTGTCAAAATCATGTTTAGAAATGATTTGCCACAAAAAAGACAAGTAAAAAAATGTCAGAGCACACAAGTATAACAACAGCTCAAGAAAGAAGCTTTTAAACGATCAAAGCACATAAAGGAATCACACATTTAAAGGGTAGAAACCCTGAACTTGTTAAACGGTATACATATTTGTCATAAGAGTCTTAAATTAACAGTCACTTAGACAAGAGCAGCTTTAAAAGACTGATTTAGCTCCTGAAAAGAGCAGTTTATTAGTAAATGACAATGTCCTGATAGCCTAAAAGTGCAAAGTCTCTAAAAAGCAACTGTACATTAAAAATAGGTTTGTTTATATGTATATATATATATATGAAGAGTTCAGATGCAAAAGCCTCTAAATGCCATTTGAAATTTTCTTCTTTAATGATGATTTTTATCAAACTTGTATATTTAAGTTCAGTAATTTCACTTAAATAAGTGAAATTTCACTTTAAGTGAAATTACTGAACTTAAATATACAAGTTTGATAAAAATCATCCTTAAAGAAGAAAATTTCAAATGGCATTTAGAGGCTTTTGCATCTGAACTCTTCATATATATATATTCAATTACATTTTCAACTAAAACATTTTTAAATATATTTTTAAAGTTATATTCTCTACAAACTGATTTTTTTCTTTCCCTTTGCTTGAAATCAGGGTCTTACCGTGAATTTGCGTACATAGTTCGACACACTGAAGCCGCCTGTACTGAGAAGCATCGATCTGTACAGCGAGGTCCCCATCATGCATTGCCCCCTTGTCTTGGGTTAGTAGGACTCAGTGTAGTACTTTGCCAAAGTGAGTCGCCATAAGCAACGAATATTCCGCAGAACTGGACTCTCGGGGTTCTGTAACATTCTGGAAAATAGACAGATCACCCCTCAAACACTAACTATCTTATCACTTTCAGCCCGTTTACTGGGTACGCGCCCCTGTCAGCACGGCAGTGGGCCCAGAAAGCACTTCCTGCTTAGAGATAACAGCTGCCTGAGATTAGTGTGAGTATGCTGGAAATGTGTGTGTTCTGTTTTATTAATAGGTCTTAGATTTGCCTTTTTTTGGGGGGGATGGTCCCCACGGGAAGTCTTCCTCCCAGCGCAGCCGGCGTAGATGCGCAGTTGGAATGATGGTGATATGACAAGGATGCTGGGAGTCAGACCAAATTTCAGTTTCCTGTTATGCTGTTGTAAGAGAACATGAAGATAGATTATGTGTGCTTAGACTTGACAGGGATCTGATCTCTTGGACTGACCCAATTTGGGACAAATGCGTCAGTCGCACCAGACGTGTAGGAATTGAGTAGCTAGGCTATAAGTCCTTCCGGATAAGGAATCTCGAAGAGTCGGAGAAATCTCGTACATGTTTGAAACAGCCCAGAGCTATTCACTACAATTGGGCAAACCATAAGTCCATCATGCAAGCTGTTTTGTCGGCTTTGGTTTTAGAAGCAGATATATAAAGCCCCAGGAGGCTGATGGAAGAAAATCCATCTCTGATTGGTGGCATTGTGCCTGGCCGGAAAACGTTTATCTTCATGGCTGGGTACTATTGCCTCTAATATACCAGGAAGACTGAGCATGCCGGTGCATGTCAGGGATGTTTATATGCAACACAATTACAGTGGTTGATATGACGCTAATAAACATTTAAGTCTTTTAAGGTTCTAAAAAAAGAAAACCATCCTGCCAAGAAGTGCAGCGGTTTAACTTGACGGTTTTCACTGTTGCAGTGACGTTTTGAAAATCTCCAAATGTAACTTGTCATTAGAAGCAACATCTTCTTCATCCTATGATTTGTTAAATTATGTGGGTGGTGGTCCAGCTGGCACTGACAACTCTTAAATGTTAAAACAATAATGAGATTCTGTGATGGGGCTGTCGATCCTGTTAGTAATGGGACAGGTGGCATCAAGTATGGCGTCTAACATGACTCACACGCACTTTGATCACTGTGCTTTATTATATGACATGGATTTTAATGACTCAATTATGCACCACACCAAGCACTGCTTGTTCTGACCTTCTTTGATTTAGCTTCTGAAATCACTAAATGTCCATGAAGTATGATTACATCCTGCTAAATTATACGAAATGCTATTCAGTCGTAGCTAAAAAATGTGATTAGAGGCAAAGTATTTGTTCAAAAATGCATTTTGAAAAGGGCACAATGGTGAAAAGCAGTAACCATTAAACATCAGATCCAGACATTCATTCAAGCAATTACCATGAATTGTTTTTTCTCTCACAAATCTTCTAACTTCAGTTGACATTGATCCACCAACTATGGTCTTATGGATTACTGTCCTTTTCACCTTGTGTGAGTTTTAAAGCATTAACTTGGGTTTTCGTACACTTGCATTAGCCTATGAACTCACAGAGATGGATTATTTTTCTAGAAATTCAAATACATCTGGGACGGCACGAGGGTGAGCATGTAGCATGTGATGATAAGAAAATTTAATTTGGGGGTTGAGGATACATTTAAGTCATGATTTAGGAGTATAAATCATGACTTGAATGTATAAAAACTTTTCTCATCTTCCTAAATCTGAAGCAACGGGTTCTGTAAATGTTGTATGAAAACTAACTGCTAGTGGAGAATTATGATTTGGATGCCATCTAGTGGTTCATAAAGAGACAGCTGTTTTCGTCTGAAAAAAAGACGAAACAATCTAAATGCCAGAAAAACAGACATTGAGCTATGAGATTCATGTTATTAAGCCAGGAGTCTGTTTTATTACACACCCTCGGGCAAGAAACCAGAGCCTGTTTCCACCAACAACCCAAATGGGTTTTCAAGGCTCATCTGAACACAGTGATTCCAGAAAGAGGGTATTATGCAAAAAACATTTTAAAAAATAAATGTACAAACAAACAGCAGAAAACTTCAATTCATTCATTGACGTCTTTTGTAGGCGTTTGTGTTTTGGGCCTGCATTACACTATGTTAATCAAAAAAGCCTTGCTTTCTCACATTGAAAGAGCATTATAACCCTTTCAACATGCTTGAAAAGGTTTTATGTAAGCAAATTCTTAGGCTTTAGCATTGACAGTCTCATGTACAAATATAGCAGCGTTCTGTCACAGTCTGGTTCTTCTTTCATCAAGCTTTGTGTGTTATGATCTAAGGCTTGGGCTATGCTTGATGATGTTTAAATTCACCATGAAAATCAAAATTGACAATTCTTATTTTTTTATGGAATTTTGCTATATTATATGTGATTTATCTGTGCACATCATTATTATTACTTCAAAAAACTATATTCAAACTACTCAAGACAAACAAATCAAAAGCAGACTAAATCTAAAGAAATTAGGAAATATTACATCAGTAACATTCCAAGTTTTCCATTCAACTTCTTCATTTCCTGTGACCTAAGAAATAAAAGCAGTAATCTTTAATTACAGTAATCAATAAGTTTTATTCCTAACCTCCAGGAAAAATGCTAGATCGTGTGATTCACCCCGAGCCTGTCCAGTGGGAACTTCAGAAAGTGCCAAACAATATCAGACCCTCGTCAACTCTACCAAAGAGAGACACGCCATCTGCCTTTGACCTTAAAACCATTCAGACCAAAAACAACACCTGTCACACCATGATGTCATTGAAACCCACAAAAGCACAGATATGATAACAGTTTTATGCAGGAAAACATTGCCACAAGGAAGTCCCCACTAGAGTTCTACACAAACTAGTGTGAATGAAGTGAATGAATTATGTGGGTTCCGGGGTGATGGCTCAAGAACAAAAGCTTTAAAGGGATACTCCACCCAAAAATGAAAATTCTGTCATCATTTACTCACCCTCAAGTTGTTGCGAACCTGTATGAGTTTCTTTCTTTTGCTGAACACAAAGGAAGATATTTTGAACTATTGGAACTTTGGCACCATTGACTTCCACAGTATTTTTTTTTTTTAATTTCTACTATGGAAGTCAAAGGTGCCAAAGTTCCAATAGTTCAAAATATTTTCCTTTGTGTTCAGCAAAAGAAAGAAACTCATACAGGTTCGCAACAACTTGAGGGTGAGTAATTGATGACAGAATTTTCCTTTTTGGGTGGAATATCCCTTTAAAAGCTGTGACACTAATCTTGACTGAAGGTGGCAGCCAAATGCAAATGAAGCTACACATAAAGTGGGAAACCCCTGGTGCAACTCTTGTGTCATGTAAGATAAAAGCAACGTTTATCTCTTGACACTTCATACTTTATTGGCCACAGTTGTAGAGTTTCTTCTAATTATTTGCATGTTTTTTATTGTTACACCTCACTGTATAATCAGTGATGAGCTAATTGTGTTGTACAAATAATTTAACATAGCACATTAGATCCAGTTTCAGGATATATTTTTAAAACTCTTATATGACCTGCTTTGGCCACATTATCATGGTTTCTCAAACCACTTTGAGCCCTTCTTTTTATGGAATGAGCTCCTACAGCACATCAGTAACAGATATGCAACCCTGTTTTTCTTGTTCCACAGGCGAAGCTAAAACCCCCATTATTAACAGTTTAAGAACCAACATTAATTAATGTAAACATGAAAATACACAAACGCCTTGTAACTCATTTTTTAAATTAATTCTGGAACATTTGGGTATGTTTTCCATTTACTAAGAATGCCTCACACCTTGCAACTTTTTAACACAAGGGAAAAGTAATATGTTGACTGTAAAAAAAACTACTTGTAAAGAGTTGAAGCAGAACAAAATATTTTACCTTTACCGCACACAAACAGCTGAAGGAAGGTAGAATATATTGACTGGGGGCAAGTCAGTTACAGATGTAAAGGGGAATATCCCTTTTTCCATCATTTCTGTGTAAACCACAGCACACTGGATTCTCCAAGGTAAGCTTGTTGCTTAGTGATGAAGCTTTGGAAAAAAAAAAAAAAAAAAAACTCTCTGTGGCAGCTGCTCTCCACTCCGAACTGACTGTGGAACTAGATAAATACAATATATTCTCCATGTAAACCATAATATTAGATAAATACTTGGACATGCATGACAATCCTCATGTATTGTATTCAACACATTTGAGTCTAGTTCTTTGTTCATGTAAAGAACTGAAACAAAATGGTTCAGTTTTGAGTAAAGCTTTAGCTGAACAGCTGAAATATGAGCTCTCTTTGAAAGTTGCCATAGGCATATTTCTTGCTCCAAATCCATCTTAAAGAGGGGGACATGACGTATGAGAAGGAATGGTTGCAATTAACTTCCCCTGAAAATAAAACTAAAAGCGTAAATGCAAATAATTTTAATATATCCATATACAGGGTGAATATTACACATTCACTTTGTTACCATTTATCAAACAATAACAAAAGGGAAAATAAACACGCTTAAATTAAGATGGTTGAGGCATAATAAATAACCATTAATCTGCCATTTCCATTTGGGTTCAGCTCCCACTTGGTTACTTGTAAAATAATATGGCTCACTGGCACCTAAATAAAGAAAATGGAATTGATCAGCTTACAAGTCGGAATAATGGTGCCAGACATAATTTGCACACAAATTGTTCTTTTGGTCAACCCCATCCCCCAATAAACAGCTTAAAAATTTTAAGAAACAACTGGTAGGAACATTGAATACATTCCATAAAATTGTCATTAAAATAGATAGAATCCTACACCGCTAATGAGTACTACAGTTCTCTCACTCAAGTCGAGGATAACAGTCATTTTTCCCCTCATATGCAGAGAGACGGTGTCTGAAATCCACCAATTCACGGTAGCACCACTGAGCTGAGCTTCGGCCACACAGGGGTTTAAGCTTCTTCGGGTCAGAGTTTCCCCAACCGCTTTTACATAGACATATGGGACATCTGCACACCCACGTTGTAAGAGCCCTGAGTTTCAGCTGCAATTGTTTCCAACGCTTGTTACAGGATGAGTCTCTGGCCCAGAATTTTGCGGTTAATCTCGGCCAAGGCCACCGAGAACACAAAAGCCTTCTCATCTGAGAGGTTGGCATAAATGTCAACCTCCTTTTCCTGTTTTTCTGTGAAAGGAAAGAAAAAAAAAGAAAAAAAAAAAATCAACCATGACTGTATTGTTATCAACAGGGAATTGTGCCAATTTAATATAGGATACAAAGCAAGGATAGATGTCACTTCATACAAATGTAATTTATTTCATAACCAAATAAAAAACAGCAGATTTGCAGAGAAGTGAAAATCATAAGATTCTCCATGGAAGAGCTGACAATGCATAGACGCTTCCAACTCGGCAATGATTTATTCAGGACCGAGCTAAGAAAGAACCATGTGTGTAAATCATTAATCCACAATATGAAAGCCGTACACTTGGAAACCACATGCCACCCTGATGGCTCCTGAATCCTCAATATGTCTTTTGACCTAGTGTCCATGGAGACATGGTCATCTGTTGTCATTTTAATAAACAAACTTTATATAAAACATTCTTGGATTGCTCAACAGAGGGTTTTATTTAATGGGTTTTATTTAATTTAATTTAATTTATTTATTTGGTTTACAGCTAGGTGTGGGAGGGAATGAAGACAGATCAGTGGTGACACGCCACTTGAGAGGCTTTTATTCTAAATGCAAATGAAAATACACAGAAATCTCTAGGGGTGAGCGTGAAATCAGAGAGGGACATGATGGGACTGAAGGTCAGTTTGAGGAGAGGGGTGGTAGGTAGGTCTGTATCTGGTTCTTGAGGACACAGATAGCATAATCACACACTGCCAGTATTGTTGTATTGCCATTCCACTGTTCTACAATTGGCCAGTCACTCCAGATGCGAGAATATAAGTCAAAATATTTGATTTCTTAGGATATCTGTAATGCTCCTAAAATGTTCCACTTTAAGGTTTTGCTCATTTACTGTTTGACCCAACAGGCCAAGGTTATTAGTATTTTTTGCATAGTGCTGCTTTTCCGTTTTTCTATGTAAACAAAAACATGTTCGCCAGAAATGGCATGAAATGAAATGCAGCGCTCAAGTTATAGGAAGTTTAACTTGTGTCTCATAACCTTGCATTATTACCTATTCCATTGCCCACTTCTTGTTTTGTTCTTGTCTGAATAGCCGCTTAGGCATAAAAAAAAAAAAAAGGTTTGGTTACGGTTGGTTGTCAGTTGAGGTCATGGGTCGGTAGGGAATTCATTTTTTTTTCCCCCAGTGGCAGCAAGGGATAGGTAGGAAATTATTATTATTTTAATTTTACTTTACAGTATCGATGGATACTTTTTTTTAATAACATTTACCTACCATTGTGTAGTACATGTATTCTACCGACTTGTTTGTCCCAGCATCTTATACACACACTCAAATTTTTCTACTCCTAAAAACCAGTCATCTCATGTTTCATCTAATACCTTTAACAGTATTAACCTCAATACAAACCTTCTCAGAAAAAAAAAACAGAATATGACAGAATCTTCCTCTGCATCTGTGACCACATCTATGATCGTGATTGGCTCTGCCTTTGGCGACAGCCGACTGTAGCGTACTGCTAGTGTGCCCAGCACTGGCGCAACTGAAGTGCATTTTCGAAACAGCATCTCGAATGCGGACGGGAGGGCAGAGATTCATGCTCTGGGGCGCACTTCAGTGCTAAATACCTTCAGTGCTGTTGAGTGGGGGGTCGACACCACGTCGCTGACTATGTCTGTCCATTTGTCAGCTCTGTCAATTTTGCCAGCAGCTGATACGAATGTACAAAAACACTGTTTGGTTAAGGACTGGGCTAAAGTTAGGCTAATGTATAATTCTATAAATAATATACATTATTTACCGTGCATATTCGTTCTCGCCACCTACTGGCAACTATTCAGAACACAGCAAAAGTTACCAGTGCCTTTGTAAGTGACGACAACGATGTGTGAACGCCCGTGTAGCTGCCTCGTTTGTTAGCATTGCTGGAGGACAACAGGCATCTTGCATGGCAAGAGTGCTATACAAATACGGTGCTGTACAAAAACATTAATTATAGATTGCCTCAAAGTTTTTTTATTTGTGTATTTACTTAATTTGTATTATTTCTTCCCCGAGCTCATAAAATAAATTTGCGTCGCACATAAACTGACAAGGTCAGTCGGAAACCTGGAACCAAACAATTTTTTTTTTATGCCCTAGGACTTAATCGCCCAGCCCTAATGCCTCAGCTCACGTGCATGAAGCGCCATCTACCGGTATTTCCCTAAACAGTCATACGTCAGATTTTCCACCACAGGATGAGAGTTTATCAATTACAAACACGATTATTTCTTTTTGCTAATTATTGTTTTATTTCAGTTAGTTTTTCAGTGATGGTTGGTAGTTTTGTTTAGTTTTAGTATTTCACTTATTTAATATTTTCTATTTTATTTCAGTTTACGAAAATGTTTTTTGCCCAATAGTTTTAGTCTTCGTTTGTGAAAATAATCTTGCAACAGGCAAGAAGCATTTAAATTACGAGATGGAGAAAAAAAGAGAGAGCAGAACCCATTTTTTGGATTATGAAATAATCCAATTATTGGACAAGAGAAAATGCTGACTCAAAACAGATAAAATGATGGCAACAGTGACAGGAATTGAAAATAAATGTCAGAACGATAGTGAAAAATGCGTTCACAAAAGCAGGAAAGAAAACTGTAATCAAACATTTTTTCACAAAAACCCTTCAGCACACTCACTGTGAATGCTTTCATTTGGATAACTCAAAAACTTTGACAAAAGCATTTTTCAAAGCTTTTTTTTAGTCAACAAAGCACTTCACGTAAGAGCATATGCAATATGCATATATTCCAAGAGTATATTTCAACAAATATTCAAAGACAAGTCTATTTGACATCACTGTAATAGACTAAATAGGAAAATAACACTCAAAAAATATCAAACAAATCACCCTGGATGTCTACATTTCTTAAAGTCTATGTTTATAGTTACTATAAATCTGCAATTCTTACTTTTCGCCAAACACGTGGGAGGCTGGGAGCAATTTACCTATTTCTTCCTCCTGCTTCTTCAGCCCAACAGTTTTCGGTCTGCCTCGTCCTCTGCGGATTGGATCTGACTGACTGTTGGAGCGGGATCGCCTCCTATTTTCCATATCACTGGAAGATGATAAATTTATCTTCTCTTTTCTTATTCTTTCTGTTCGTCTTCTTTTGGCATCCAATTGGTCTGGAACAAAATCAAAAGGATACATTATAAAACAGTGGGGGTTGATACATTCACAAACTAGCCAAACCATTTTATAAACTGTTTATACACAAACAGCAGCTCTCTTTTTCTCACATGATCTTTAAACCCATCCCCCAACCATTATTGACTGACTTAAAAGCCAAAAAGGGGGTCTTGTCACTTCACATGCAAATCAGCAAGTGTAGGAAACCACAACCATATGCAGAGCTATAATCAGAGAATTAAGAGCTTGTTACTAAAGACCTGTGTCTCTCTGAGGTAGTTTATTTATAGGGCTCTTTAATCTTCGAGTAAACATCATTAGTAGCAACCCTGTGTGAGGAGAGCTGACAATTTTCAAAATGACTACATCAGAATAATAATAGTAATAAATTAAGATCAGTGACACATTTATTTACAGTTTTTAAAGATCTCAAAGAAAATTTTCAAGAGAAAAAGAAAACAGCTATGCTTATATAGCCCAGTTTTTAAGTGTATTATAAAGGGGGGGGTAGTTTCACCACTACAAATACCACTGCCATTCACTCAAACTACTTAATGGAAACACACCTAATTGTTTTTTGCAAACTTTGAGAAGATCCGCTTCACGTTTGGATGGAAACCCAGCTACTGATTTTTTTTAAACAACATATTATTTTGGTCTAGAAACATATGACTAATGAGCAATTAAATTGAATATATTAGGTGCTGCTGTGACTTTTCTGTCAGCATTTCCTTGGTATTATTTTCCCTATTTTCCTCACCTTTTATATGCTCACTTGTTTATTTTGGTGTGACAAATTAATTTGACTACATATACTCCATGTAGCTTCTCAATAAATATGAGTTAATAAAAACTGCATGCATAATATAATAAGAGAATTATAAGCAAAATTTAGTTTAAATATTGTTAGACAAAGTCGCATCAAAGTACATTTCAGCTTTCCAAAAATATTTTGTTACATGCATTTACAAGAATCAACTCAATTCTGAATATCTCTTATGACAACACAATCTGTCACCAACAGACATTACATAAATATTTATATAATCAAGTATTTCCATGGCAGCCATTTGATTCTAAACTCAGCGATAAGATCCGTTCCTGCTCCCTCCCTTTCCAGGCCTGCTGTATGACTGCACATTAACTCAGGAATCCAGCCACTGTCAATAACCTGCACTAACAAGAGCTCTGTCTGTTCTGCAGCTAATTAACATGGCGTAACTTCTCCAGAAGAAGTCAGGGTTGCATGATCGCATGTGAATATTATTGTAAAATATCTGGAAAGATTGGCTGTAAATGTGATCAAATATTCTTATTTTATTATAGTCTAGTCTATAGTATTGTCTCATAGATACAAGTCTTTCATTTAATATTTCATCTGAATTACAATTCCCTTTACAAAAGGAGCAAACAAAGCAAGGACAGGCAGAGCAATCTAAATAAAGTCTGTCCTATTTCAAATTGAGCACATTATTCTTAGCAGAGGGATGGGTAAGCCCTGAATAAATACTGCAGCTAAAATGGAAGCCTAATGTTACAAGAGAAAAGACATTTCTCTTAGAAGAAACTATGACTACACCCTTCATTAACATAAGTAGTATCTCACTCTTTCGCATATTAACACATTAATTCCTTATACGACTCTCTCTTTTGTACAGAAAAAAATACATCACACCACTGTAAAACATTCAAACAATGAACATTTGTGCAGATCATTCCAGTCATAATTCAATGTAACTATCACAGACTGAGCTTTCAATGCCAAAAAACACAATGCACAAGCCAGCTGGGTTTTGAACAATAAAAATCATAAAACTTCAGGACGCTTAAGACTATCTGCCGATTTGATGTGCACAATGAGGGGTAGGTTTCTAGCTTATACAATAAAGATACTCATGACTGGCCTAAAACCTGATTTTATTGTTTAAATACTAGATCCAAAAAAAAAAAAATCGATTTTTAAACCACAAGATTAAGTTTATTAAAATTAATTGTTAAAATACCACACATGTGTGGTCACATGCACAAGCTTATCTCTTATCCCTTATATTGCTAACTAACCATCTTTGTGATATCACAGCAAATATCCCTCCAATTAAAATACCAACAAACCTCCAGTTTAACTTTAAAAAGCCTTTGTATAATAATATTCAGGAGAATTTTCTTTTTAAAGGACCGTTGGTCTATCATAAAAATTAGTCAACTGAAATATTGTGACAAGTTTCTAGATAACATAGTGGCGAGAGAGAGAGAGAGAGAGAGAGAGAGAGAGCAGGAACAAGCTTTTCAGACAGGAATTAGTTTGCCCTTCCCCCATCCCTCTTACTCACTCAAGCAAACAGCCACCACTGCACCAATCATTTCAGTATTCTCAACGCATCCTGCTGACTGGAAACTTGCCTGTTATTTATTTCCATTCACTAGCCCAGAGTTCAACACATACCAAAAGTAAAAATTTTTTTTTTTTTTTTTTTTTTTTTTTTAAATTAGCCTGACTCACGAGTATGGCCAGAAAATATGGGCCAACTATGGCAGACTCATATGCGCAGAGATTAAATTATATAAATGAGCATATATTTTCAGTGGGAGAAAAGTTTGCTGATCAATATCTGGAATTACATTCATTCCATTGTCCCTCCCATAGCAGTCATTTTCAGATCAATATTTACATCACATCTAGTTAAAAGTGACTTGATTAATGAACTGTACATACTTTAGAATAGCATAAATAATATAGTAGTGGATATATGGGGTTTTCATGTGCATAAAACCCATTAAAGATGCACAATTTACCCATCACTGGAGATCTCTCATTTAATTTGGCATTGAGCAGCTTTCGGCTGATGAAGACGTAGCCACAAGGACAGGATTTACAAGCCACAGGAATCTGAAAGAAAGAGAAAGAGCTCAGCAAGAACACTAAACTAATGTACAATGGCGGTCTAAATATTTCACAACAATGGAGGAAGAGCGCTTCAATATTAAGCATTCACAAAGGGATATATATGGTGTGCCTTAATAAAGACAACATTGATGTGATGTGTCCTTTGAGGAAAACTGACTATAGTAAACAGGAAACAACTTTATAGATTTCTGACACAATGTTTCACACAGTCCCCAAAACACAATGGCACAAAACACAGTCTAATGAATTTATCTGCAACAAAATACAGTGTAATGATGAATGTATCTACAACGAATAGAGTTCTGTTTGTTCAAGGGCAAAATAAATATTGGTAATTTATCGTTTATATCTTCTCATCATAATTACAAATGGTATAAGTCTTCAAATAATATCATGCACATTTCTAAACAGTTTAATCGCATAGATTAGCGTTCTTCGTGGTATTTGACCAGGCGAACACAGACTGCATGGAAACCTATGAAATTTCATTGTTTCAATCCAGTAAGCAGGACATTATTGTACAGCTTTACACGTTTTCATCGCCAAAGTAAAATGAAAACAAAATTCAGTGGCTAATTGTGTATAATATGACTTCAATACAATCGTCAAAAATGAGAAAACCACATCTTACATCACGTAGCAACGTTGTTTGTAACTCATACACATCTAATGAATAACTTTGCCTCATTAAAGCAGACACCATACTAAACATAACAATTCGGCGAATGAGAACTTAAACAAAAACACAAAAATGTATTATTCTTTCGCAGACAACACCTCACCTGTTGGTCACACTCCGGGCATGATTTTGTGGCCATCTTCACTTTCTTCACTTTGTTTGTAGACATATTTATGACGAAGAGCTTTAATATTATCCCTTGACCGAACAGCAAAACTTCCAGCTGCACTAACGCACACAGAGAAGTGCAGCTGATCGGGATCCAGTGAGCTCAGACACACACTAGCAGCCCGATGAACCATCAACTGCACTATTACACAGTGCGCATGCGCCCTGTGGAGATTCGAAGATCGGTCCATGGCTGACGGCTCACGTGACCCACAGCCACAAATAGACAAATTAGTCCATTTTTTGAGAACACGCTCACAAATTGAGTATTTTTCGTCACAAAAGCAGCTTTTGGAGAGCGAATGGCAATATTAATTATTCAAGGTATTTCCAGATAATGTCGAGCTATTGCCTGCAGTACTCTCGGAGCATGCGCGTTACAGTACGACAGTCACGTGGATGAAGAACAATACGTGCTGATGTAGGTGAAATCAAAAGATGAAATAGATATGCTGTTGTTTGAGGCACGGCCATCACTTTTTTTATATTACGATTTGATGAAAACAACTGTTCGATTATGATTTAAATGCGACAAATAACTATCAATATGAATAATAGTTATTAATACACTCACATAAAACATATGGCACCACGTGACGATAGCAGCCTTTAACATGTTTTATGTTTGCAACTGTCACTTTTTGTGTGGAAGTGTGTGGGAGCATTAGAATAGATCTATTTTGAAAACATCATCCTAAAATTATTTTAGTCTACTGTTCCCTCATTTGCAAGTTTGTTTGAGACCAATGATTTTCTGTATGCTAATCGTTGTCTCCTTTTTGTAGGTTACTCGCTTGGTCATTGTCATAACCTACACTGGAATAGGCTATAACAAACTTTCCTTTGTAGCCTATAGGTTATGTAAGATGTAAGACTAGTTGTGCAAGATGATAATTGTGAAAGGATCTGATTACTTTAGCCTATAAACAACAATTTCTGTGAACAACAACCTGGCAAACTGATCCCAGCAATAATATTTGGCAGGAGAATCAGGACCTTTATCAGAAGTATCTTGGAAATATCCAAGATCCTGTCAATTTTATTCATATAAAATATTACATTTCAATGACTGCTCATTTCATGAATAAAATATGAAGATATGTACTTTGTAGCATTTAATAGTTTTTCTTCAGTTGAGCAGGTGATTTAATTTCTTGGAGACAATATCTTCAACAAAGTTCTTAGATGTTTTAATATCAATCACACTTCTTACATGTCTTCTTCTTCCCTTTGTAATGTTTTTGCCAACTCCTCTTAACCCCACCCCCACTGCCATTTGACAACATGGGACACATTCCTATAATTTTCAAAATCAATCAAAATGCAAAATACATTCATCCCATCATTACAAAATACACTCACTACTGAAAAAGTGTGCATGAAATAGAAATGCATGAACAAGAATATGTTTTTGTTTATAATTCAATAAGTTTGATAAATATGTGAGAGATAATCATAGCTGATTTTTAGGCTACTTTAAAAGCTAATTACTTAAATGATACTAATCTTGGATACGTGAAAGAGATAAAAACATTTCCTTATCCTATATGCAAATGTCATTAGAGCATTTGCAGCTTTTACAGTTCTCCTAACCTGTTTCGTGGTTTGTGGAAACTAAGCATTTCCTTCATTACTTGTTTAGTCAAGTAGGCCTATTATTTCCCCAAACACTGCACATCATTGCTTGAAACACAACCCTGGTGTTTTGAAATGACAACACAAGACAAATAGACAAGTAGAATTTCGACCATGTCATTTGAAAATGCTGAATCCTGTCAAGTGCTTATATAAGGATCTTAAAAATATATTATGTGTGGCTCTGCAGACTTGTTGGTTGCAATGTGGGAACCCCATATCCTCTTCATATGCTAAACAAGCCATTGTTCAACACAAAACTGCTCTTTAAACCTCACACAAGATGACCTAGGCTACTGGTACATAGAGTGTTAATGACGGTTTCAGTGTGAATGAAAATGAATCTTGTTTGGGAACTAACTGGACTTTTTTTTTCTTTTTGTTATGTTAAAACATTTCACTGTCATGTCAGCCGTTATAAGTGAAACCACTCTTCAGTTTGACCAAATGTTTGCCTCTTATAAAAAATAACTTAATAAATAAACAAAAATAATAAAAAGCAACCTGACAAATAAATGCTGTGGTACCAGTGAGAGGTAGATATTTTAAAAATGCTTAAAAGATTAACAGTCAAAAAAAATATTAAACATTATATAGGCTGTTATTGAGATACATCATTGTTTCCAATAGATGGCAGCATTTCATTTAGATTACGTTCTATAAAAAAAACATTTTCACTTCTTCAGGATTTGACTTTAATTTGTGGTAAATTCCATACATATGCTTAATTTAGGCACTCAATACATTAAAAAGAATAAAATAGTAGGCCTATAATTTTATGAACAAGCTTTATTTACTCTAGTCCTATTATGGGTTATGATGCTATATTCATTATCTATTATTGTGACTGTTCTCTATGCAATTATGATCTCTATTACCCCTGTCCTGATTATTCAAGGAATTACTAAATGAGTTATAGGAATAACCCCTTTAATTGTCATTACAAGAAACACTTAAAGGTGCATTGTGACACATTTCATGTTAACCTGTTTTTCTAACCCATACAATGCAATAAAATTAGAGAACCAAAACTTACAGGCTATTAAAATGACTTCTGATTAAATTACACAATACAATACTAAATGATTTCAACTGAATTACGAGATGTAATGGATTATATTTTTATTAACACAGAACTACAAGCAAAATGAACATTTGCATGGACATTCAAAGAGCTTTTTAAAATACACAACAATACAGAACAGCTTTAAACAGACATACTTTAGGAAACTTTCATTTCCCAAATACTTTTGTGATAGTCCTTCTGGCTATATAGTGTCTGAATGAAAATATCTTCATAGCTGTGTTAACAATGTTGAATGAACTGTAAATATTTTGAGAGACAGTTTTTATTTTTAGGTCCATCCTGGATTAACCAATTAGACTCAAATAGATGCAGTGTCTTTTGCTGTATGTAAAGTTAAATCTGTAATTTGAAGTGATTCATATTGTATGTGCAGTCAATTTTTTTTCTATCTTGAGGCCTCGATGATGCAGTCAGGTCATGAGACGTGGAGGTTGAGGAACTCTGAAAAACACACAAACATGCTGTAACACATGTCCAACATTATTTAGTAAACATAGCAAGAGAAAGTATCCTGTCAATTGTATCCTAACCAGGGGTTTTACTGGACCCCTGTGGAAGAGCAGTATATTGTCCATGATGAAGTGCATACTTCAGTGTTTCCCAACCCTGTTCCTGGCGGCACACCAACACTGCTCGTATTCTTTGTCTCCTTAATCAAACACACCTGATTCAACTCATCAGCTCATTAACCCATCTGATTATGAGCTGATGAGTTGAATCAGGTGTGTTTGATAAGGGAGTCAAAGAATACGCACAGTGTTGGTGTGCCGCCAGGAACAGGGTTGGGAAACACTGGCATACTTCATCATGGACAACAAACTTTTTTATTGTGCATGCGTCCATTTTTAATGCAGTAGATATAGGCTACAAGGATTTTTTTTGTTTGAAAAGTTTGGTGGCCCTGGGACCTCGTTCAGGAGCCGAAAGCCCGAAAAAGGCCCATCCGCGAAACCGCTATGCCTTTTTAATGGCCCGTGGGACAGCCCCTGTATGCAGACGCAGGGTCGTGGTAACTTGGGATATCAGATTCCAACTCTCCAGGGGCCCCTGACGCAGGGCCCCGAAGCATGGAACTCTAGGGCCTTTGCTAAAAATCGCCCCTCCCCTGTCATCAAATCATGTAAGAGCCTGAAAGGGTGGGAGTGAAACAACCTTGAGCGAGAAATTTTGTACAGAGTCTAAAAAAACATTTGCCTTGGCTCTAGAGCCCGGTGCTTTTGATATGTCGCTCGGGACGAGCCCCGGGGCCGTTTCGGTGTTTAATTTGCATAAAAAAGCAGTGTCCGCAAAACCACGGACACGGTGACGTTTAAGCTTTGGCTTACGAAATATTTTTATGAAACGCGTTTAAAGGAGCCCACTCAGTGGGCTCCTTTGGTGCAACCTTAGGACCTCGTTCAGGGGTCGCAAGGTCAAAAAAGGGGCCGTGAGTTAGGGTTAGCGTAAGGGTTAGGGTTAGAGGCTGACAATGTTTTGACTTCGCTCAAGAGCCTGGCGCTTTCGGTATGTCGCTCGGAGAGGGCCCAATGGTCAGCTTGCTGAATTTGGAGCCCCTGGGACATTTCTGTAAAAATCCTACTCGCCCATTAAATTAATGTATTTTTCCATAGTGGTTTCGAGGACACCTCTTAAAAATGGCCGATCAACTAGGGGGCGCCGTTTTCCATCTCGCCACGGCCCCCTGGCGCGGGCGGAAACGTTTGGTGGCCCTGGGGCCTCGTTCAGTGGTCGAAAGGTCGAAAAAGGGAAACTCGTCTGCGAAATCGCTATGCCAATAAGTGGCCCGTGGGACGGCCCCCGTACGCAGATGCAGGGTCATGGTACATTGAGATTTGAGATTTGAACCCTCCATGGGTCCCCAATGCACGGCCCCGAAGGGTGAAATCCTAGAACCTTTCTGTAGCAAGTGTGCCACTTTTAACCAACTTTCACTCAAAAGGCTCTAGGGTACATGAGTCATGTTCTTATTTTTCTAAACAGTTTGTTCAGTTGTACCCTAACTGATGAAAAAAAGATGTGATCAGTCACTGGTGTTGCTTTTTCTCAACAGACAGAAAAAGAAGTGGTGACATCCCATTCTTCAGTCCTAAAAAACAAATAAACACAAACAATTAAAATTAAGTTGCTTTAAAGGAGAGTCGGGTTGGGTGATGGGTTACTCTGACATCCTCAGCGTCCACTGTCCTGCAGATTTAGCTCCAACCTCAAACCCATCTTTGTTAAAACATTTTTTTTTAAATGTAGGTGTGCTTGAATAAGTTTGGAAGAAAACTCTCCACCTCAAAAAGAGACCTAAAAAAGGGACAGAGTTTCCAGTTCCTGATTTAAATGTACAAAGCAGCACAGTACATTATATTACATGCAAATTGAAGTTTTATATATTTAATATTGCAGTACATCATATAGGCTAAGCACAGAACAAAAAAAAAAAAAAATGTTTTTTTTAACTTATATTATCAACAACAGCCTTTAAATAACCTTTAGAAAGGCATGTTTTCTTTTGAGCCTTTGCCAGTGATGCTTGATTTCTTTCAAGACAACATACTCTGAAATTCTCCCCATCCCATATGAAGAATACATGACATGTTGGTGATATCATATTAAAAATTTCTTATATAAGGTACATGAAATAATATGACACAATCCTGTCACGTTTTGTTAAATTTCAGTTTTATTAATCAATAATAGACATTATTAAAGTATAAGTAGCCTAAAAGGTAAAATAAGCTTATACAAGTCAAGAAATAAAGCAAGTTAAAAGATTCAGTCAATAAGTCAGCAGGCTAGCTTACAACGTTAAAGTTAGGCTAAATAGCTTAAATCAGAACAATGTTTTAAAAAGGCGCTATCTTTATAAATAAACCACAGATTTGAGCTTTAAACAACTACATTCTCGACTTAAAATCTCTTAAAATTACATTTCATGACACAATAACAGTAATATTTAAAAAATTTCGCGGACTTTCTCCAAATTGACGGCAACAAACTGCTTTTATCAAGTTATCGCGAGAACATATTTAGATCAGGCATACTACTGGATTACTATGGGGTCCTAAGGTGGGACCCATCTCTTCAGGGGGACCCATCTCTTCACCACACCAACGCAAACTCCACTCAAGACAAAGAAAATAAAACTTTTGTCTAGTGCCAGGCGTCGGAATAAGATGAGTCAACATCGGGAAGGCATTCAACAAATGGAGAGATCTCCGGTTTGCTCAAGGGCTCAAACACATAAAAAAGTTCAACATGGACGGAAACAAAAACCGAAGTTTTCTACTACCCCCGTTTTCCCCTTACACAAGTGTGTGATTCACTCAAATGCCTTTCCTTTCATACATTTAAAATGACTTGCAGATCTTTAACTTTATTACCTCTGAAGACATTATGACAGTGTAGTCTATAACAAAAGATTTGTGCGGCTGATGCTCCTTTGGTTATGAACAGCTTGTGCAAGTGCGTGTGGTCCATGAGCGTGCACACCTCTGGTTGCAATTTCGCTTGTCACCAGAGGGGGCATAGTTGTGCAAAAACTCAAAGACTTGCACAATGCACCTATAGAGCTGGTAAGTCCCGCCCCTTCAGGTAGCCCCGCTGGACCTCTAGGTTGAAAAATCGTCAATGCAAGTGAATGAGAGAAAATAATTATTTTCTAATCCCGTTTGAATTTTGCAATGAATGTGAACATATGTTGTCTGTGATTTTTTTATTTAATGTTTCGTGTAAAGAATGCCACAATTTAGCGGGTAGAATTTTCATACGGTTAGACTTTGTGTGAGAGCACTTTGTGGACTACAACTCTTTCGACGTGTTTGATATACATCACACCCACCAGCACACGGACCCCGCTAAACATGCCTGTGTCGTTGGTGTACTTCACCAGCGTGGTGAAAACCGTGATTTGTGGAGGGAAAATGTGTTATGCGGCGACGTCACATATGCGACGTGTAGTCTTTCTCGTTATGTCTATTCCACAACTGCTAGCCAAAGAATCATACAACATACTGTAAAACTCGTTACATGAGAAATTATATAAAAAATTCACAGACAACATATGTTACATTCATGGCAAAATTCAAACGGGATGAGAAAATAATTATTTTCCCTCATTCACTTGCATTGACGCTTTTTCAACCTAGAGGTCCACTTGGAGTTTTACGGATGGGCGGGACTTACCAGCTCTATTAAGGTAAAGTGTTTTTCTTAACGGGGTCATATAATGGGACATGCACTTTTTAAAGTTGATTGTATATGCTCATATAAACGGCAAAAGTTCATGGGGCACTAACCTTTTTTTAAGATAAATGCCTTTTATTCGCGATGTATTGGATAAGTACTTCATTACCCACAATCCTGAACAATCCCACAGTGATGCATCTGATTGGTGGAAGTCGTGCAACGTGTCTGAAACCCCGCAAATGTACGTGAAGACCAAGAGGCAACCTCCCCGTCTCTCTCTTGAAGCCAACACGGAAGTGAATTCATAAAGAAGTTGATAAAAAAGTAAAGTAAATAGTCTCACTTTTAATTACGTCTTAACTATTATAATATTTCAAAGGGCAAAACATGAACTTTAATCATTGGCTAGGCTTTACTTTTTCAATCAGCTGTAAATTCAGCGTGAGGGCAGTAGCACAGCATTAGCACCTCAGCTCCACCCGCATCTGCCTCTTTGCCCATTTTAATTTATCCAGTAGCGACGAGAGGTGACGCACTGCCAAGATGGCGACGGCCGGCTCCGCCCACTTTAGGCTTCAAAAACGCTCTTCAGAAACCTATGGGTGACGTCACGGACACTACGTCCATATTTTTTTACAGTCTATGGTGAAGACTGAACTTGTAATGACGTAGAGCTAAGTTCATTGGTCGCACCTCAGAGACGCCCCCGCACCATTGGATGTGCAGTTACCGCAGCACAGCCTGAGCCAGATGCTCAATGTTTTAGATTCAACGTTTTACACATAAGCTTCGGTAAATCGAGGAAAAAGAGTTTCCCTATATATAAAATTCACTGGAGCAAAAAAGTTCACGTGGCCGTCGTCAGATTTGGAAGTCACTCAAAAGGGTCTTTCACAGTGGCTTCAGTCGACTTTAGTGAGGAGTGGTTTATGGGAAGGAGTAGTTCCTTTGCTCGGAAATGAAAATATGTACACAGGCTTGCACCCTTGACTTTTATTGGATTTTCTCTTTGTTTTTTTCACTCAAAATGATATGTTGTATGCTTATGAGTTCAGTCGTAGCTGGTTATCCTCAGACATACTCAGAAATACTCTGTAGATATGGATTTAACAAAATGTCAATGAAGAAATGAATGGGAAATTTCCTTCCGGCACCAAGCTCTCTCGGGCTGTGGGGGGCTCTGCTATGGTCAAAACGCTCGCAGAACAGAGGGGCGGAGTGAGCGAAGCTCATTATCATTTAAATGCATATGCACTGAAACAGCGTGCTGAAAACAGAGCGGTTTTTGGCCAGGTAAAATCAGTGTTTTCTTACAAAATGAGAATTTTAAATTAAAGTATATTAAATTAAGTAAATTTAAAGTATATTTAAATTAAAGTATATTAAAGTATATTAAATCTAGTGGTTCAAATAACATAAATGTTTGAGAAAATCGTTTTCTCAAAAACAACAGTTTTTTAATGACTAGATCTGAAACGGCAGGTTTTAACGTTTGTTGCAGGTTCTCGTGTGTGTGTGTGTGTGTGTGTGTGTGTGTGTGTGTGTGTGTGTGTGTGGTGTTCTGATGAAATTTTGGCCTACTGTGACAGTAGGAAAGTCCCCTCCCCTCCTACTCTCCACCGGCTGCGCAAAACTATACAGCGGCAGGGTATTGTAGTTTTATTTTGAGCTTTGAATGGTGCCATTGTAGTTGAAGCAGCAGCGTGAGAACTACAAGCCCCATGGCGAGCAGAAACATGATCGCACTGAAAGAGAGCGCATAAAGATTGGCGGGTGGATGATAGTAGGCGAGGATGAGGTAGCGAGTAATGCAGTCCAGCACTTGAGAATGCTGATCGGCCTTGTACAGAAGAAGCATTTTCTGAAGTGATTTTGTTTTTATTTGTCAAATTTGCCCTAATTGTCCTAACTGGTGGTTAAAACAACGGTTACAGTATATTTTAAAGTTGCGTCCCTTCACGCGCATCCTTCTATCGAGCTGTTGAACGGTTCACCGGAGATACACGACTTCCTCAATCTGCCGACATGTATCGCTTGCAGTTACTGGCAGCTCGGTCACTGATCGCCGGAGCTCTCGATCAGTTTACCCCATTGACACTAACATCATCACTTACCGGGGTAAGACACAAATCTCAAGGTCCGTCCGTGGAGAAGTACGGTCAAATGCGCTTCAGCACCGCCGAGGCTAAAGTGTCTGCTGGGCGCCTGGACGGAAAGATGCGGGAGAAGAGCCTGACTATGGACACACTGAACCCGCAGGTGAAGGCTGTGGAGTACGCCGTGAGAGGACCCATCGTCATCAAAGCTGGAGAGATTGAGAGATGCTTGGAAGAGGTGAGAAAATGTTCAAATATCCATTTTACACTTAATGCTCCGAAGTAAGTACAGCATCCAAGAGGTACATGTTTGGAAATGTGTTTAAATATGTGATTAATTAACTTGATCTCAATTATTCCCAGCCTATGGGGTTTGGGATACCTCAATTATTATATATTTTTTTAAAGTTTAAAAAAAAAAGTGAAAAGTGAAATGGGTTTTATTTTGTTGCACAATTGCAAAATACAGTCAAAAATATTTTGTTAGACCCAAAAGAAAGTTGCTAACAATCGTTAAACATTTTTCGTTTTCAATAGGCTAAACTTTTTTTGTTTGTCTGTTTGTTTTTTAACTACTTTTTTAATATGAGTAGCCTATATTTGTTCTCATTGGTCACTAATCTGACTACTGAGTGATTGTTTAAGATTATTCGGACTCATTTGAATATTAGCCTATATGTATAAATTGTGGTGGTTATTTGAATATTGTTTATAACATGCTTCCATTTCTGGAGATTTGACACGGATCTTTTTTCAGAGGAATAAACCAGAAACCACTCTGGATTTCAAGATAGCTGGTGTAACGTTAAATAGGCTGCATTTCCCAAAAGAGAAGCATTTTCCACCAATGGTCTCTATGGTCGTCTTAGGCAATGCTTTTGAGAAATGCAGCCTTGGTCATTTACCCCAGCTATCTTGAATTTCATTATTCACCTGTAAATAAAACAGACAGAACTTTCATTTAAAGTGTATAACATAAAATATAGCAACAATTTCAAGTAAATTTTGGTCACAAATGTTACTGGTAGGATAAAATGTCAATTTTAGTTTTAACTAAATAAATAAAGTAAATATTCAAACTTGCTGTGAGAATACTTCTAATTTACACTATTCTCTCAAACGAACTGAAGCTCCTTAGGGGATACTGCTTTTCATATGAGCATTTAGGAAGAGCTATATTTATATCCCATGAACAGGTGTCTTCTCAACCATTTGACAAGGCATAACGTGTCCTTCATTGACGGTTGAACTTACCATGCCTTAGCATGAGACTAGATGATACAGAATGAGGACTACAGTGACATAAAATCCAAGACATTGAAAGTCACAGGCAAATTATAATTAATGTCTGTAGAAGGTCATAATATTGAGCCTGATTTCACAATCACAACATTACAGATTTCTGTGTAATGTAGCACAGTCTTTACACCTATATTCCGACAACAAACTTTATTATACGTGTCCAGACAAACATCCGCTTTCACTGCAGTTTGGGAGACACGATCATTTCCCTAAAGCTGTTTGTTGCATGTGAGGGCAGGTCTGTTTAGTGTGTGATTAATTTGGAACATGGATTCTAGCCAAGACTTATGGCCCTTTAGAAGTATTGTTCATACAATGGGCTTCTCCCTTTCTCTCTTACTCTCTTATAGGGTGGTACAAAACCCTTCTCCGAGGTCATCAAAGCCAACATCGGTGATGCACATGCCATGGGACAGCAACCAATCACCTTCCTTAGACAGGTAACCACAAATGCACACATTATTTTTCATCTCTAATGAAGTTGTTTTGGCATTAAATTAAGCAAACTATTAAAACCTGCATAACTCATTCCCCTGAACTGTTGACTGCCAACATGTAGCAAAACATTAACATCAATGCTTCGTAAAGTACATCTCCCTACAACTACACGACTCTTAAGGATTGGTATCTTAGGGTGCTTTCACACACTAATTGCCTGGTCCGAATGCGAGTTTGATTGTTCCCCTCTCCCCCTGTCCCCACTTGATTGCATTCACATTCACATTATTTGGGGCTGAACCGCGGTGCGTTTGCATCCAAGCAGCAGCTACCCTGTTACCCCTGTTACTTGGTAAGGACTACACAGGAGAAACCGGTTTTCAAAGTGTTAACACATAACAGCTCTTGCGTCTTTCTGCATCGAGTGAACTGCAAACTTTCTGAAGAATGCGGGAGTCCATTTCTGTTGAAGGCGAGCAAAGATTAGATCTACACTCTCTCTGCTTGCAGTAAGTCAGTCACACTTGTCTTTTGAGAACATGCACACAAACACACAGTTTTATCAAAACCTACATCATCAAAAGCTGTTCACTTCTGCAATTTAGTACGATTGGGTTCAAATCCGCAGCGAACCGTACTATAGTTCACATGAATCATACCCCAGACCAAGTTTTTAGGCTGACTCAGGTACGGTTCGCGATTCAGGGAAAAAAAACCCTTCACATCATCCTGAACTGAACTCTGACGTCAATTGTACCCGGGTGTTCACCAGAGGTGCTATTGTGAAAGCACCCTTAGAAACCAGATTAATCTTAGACCCTTGTTGTAGCAAGAAAATGCGTATTCATGTTAATAAGGAGTCTGATTCCAGTGGCTTGAAAGAAAAGCAGCTTTTGTTGTCCACTCACAGTTTTGGAACACACTGTACATTCCAGTGGAAGATTGTCTCTTATTATTGGTCTAGTTTAGTCAGAGTTGATCTAGCCTTTCATTATGAGTTGAACAAAAGCTTCAGTGATGACCTGGAACTGCTGCTTGAACCAACAGGGCACAGCTTTTTATGCTAGCATGATAGTCATAATGTTGCTTCCCAATTCCACCTCTTATACTATGCTCTAAAAGTGTGTACTGTGAATAAGTGCATACCTTGAGTGTGAAGCAGAATAGTAGGCAAGCTTTGAAACATATTAGTTCTGTGTATCCGGTCACCATTTAAACTGCCCTGTCAGTCTTTTTGTTTCAGTTAAAATTCAATTGAATTTAATTTCCTATCACATCAGAGAGAAGTGTGACATGTTGATCTGCCAGTTAGTCTTTCATGCAGAGAATTCTCCTCATGTCTTTGCATAATGATTAATGACCAAAAAATGTATTTATTTTGATAAAAGTTATGTGGATATAATGTGGATAACATTGAATAAATATATATTTTCGTCTGGTGAGATACTGATTATTATTCACTCAAACCACTTAATCTAAACCTCTCAACTTAACCGTCGGACTCGCACATCTGCCATGTTTTTAGTTTTGCTAGCACTTTTTATTTGTGTTTGTAGTTCTAATTGAATCCTTTAGGGATGGGGCCGATCCGATCCAGTATCGGTATCGGGACCGATACCAGCGTAATTCACGTATCGGATTTTTCCGATCCAACCTGCGGAGAAATCCGATATTTATGATCCATGTCTGCGCTTTAACGTTGGCTGCTGAAATGACTCCAAAAGGGATTCCCCGGGGCTGCTAGTCTGCTAGCTGGCTGCAAACTGTGGAATGGATATCCTGAACGGAGGTGCAGCTCAATCATAGACTGTAAAAAATAGGGCTCAATGAGACACACAGACAGTAGCACCTCAATGCAGAACATGAGATCCACGGGGAGGAGTCGGATCACGATCCAAGGGGTGGAGATGGGTAAGATTAGGGTTGGGTTTAGGGATTAGGGGTGGGTTTAGGGATCAGGGGGCGGAGTTGGTTAGGTTTAGGTGTATGTAAGGTGGGAGGAGTTGGATCTGGATCCGACTCCTCCCCATGGATTTCATGTTCCGCAGTGAGGACCATCTCCACACAGACGCCCGCTCAAGAAATCCATTCCGCAGTTTGCAGCCAGCTAGCAGGATAGCATTGAGCTACCAATATGTTCCCTGTGTGGAAATCCTATGGTGGAAATACTTCATCACACTGGAAACACCGCAGCAGAGCAAGACAGCAAAATGCAATGTTTGCAAAGCCGTATAAATTAAACTATTTGTCTGTGATGCATGTTTGCAATTCGCAGTCCAGAAGAGAAAGAGAGAGAGATCTCTCACGCGGTGCCACAGCACGCACAACACGACAGCCCTGCTTAATGAGTGACGACAGAGAAAACATAGCCTGGTTACACTTTAGATCTGTGATATTAGTCTGATTTCCAAAGATTAAAGAATATATTGAGGTAAAAAAAAAAAAAAAACCATTAAACAATAGCCGCATTCTGTGTAGCCAACTTCCTTCCCATCGCGGCGGTGCACTGTCATTTCTCCGTAAAACTCAAACTTTAAGACAGAATCAGCACGATCGGTAATTGTTGTAAAATGCCGTCTCTGCTGTTGCTAAATTGCGGGACGCTTTTAATAATAAAAAGAGCTATTAAAAGCACAAAATTTGCGCAAGAGGGCGGCGCGCGCTCCGAAACAGACAAGCAAATTATACTTTGGGCTTCATATGCGCGTCTAAACGATCAAATGTAGCCTGCACAAAAATGTCAAAACGACGGCTTGGAGATTATCACTTAACTACGTTCATTTTAGACATAAACGGTTTATGGAAATAGTTGGGAGAAAATATGGTGCATCAGTAGACTATGAAATCCGCACTAGTTCTTAAAGGGGCAGCAGTAAATGTGACGATTGCGACATTACTGAGAATAAAACAACCAAAGGCAAAGAGAAAATCACTCACAGCTCTTGAATGAATAACTTCAGCTTTAATAAGCATACATCTATCTATGATAAACTTTGCAGTGCTATTTTACTTTTGATTACTTTATTATAATTCTTTTTAGACGATATACCTGAATAATGTTAGTAGACCTTCCTGAAATTAAAGCACTGTGTAGGCCTCTATAATGTGTATATCTTTGTTTAATTGTCTATCTATTGTTTAATATATCTATTATATATATATATATATATATATATATATATTGACATAGGCTACATACGTACGTATCATCCTTGCTTGTAAAGAGGTGTTTATTTCAGCATCATATAAAATCAACAATAATGATAAATAATGTTAAAGCAAACACAGGTCTGGTATCGGAAAAGTATCGGTATCGGCCGATATCCAAAGTCAGGTATCGGGATCGGATCGGAAGTGAAAAAATGTGGATCGGTGCATCCCTAGAATCCTTGTCCAATGCACAATGGGTTTTGGGCAATATTAACCATTAGTGTGTGCATGGATTTGTGACGTACTAATTCTAATTTTGAATACCGTTTAGGAAGAATAGTATGAGAATTGGGACATGGGAACACTCTAACCAGGATGGTCTACCTTTCTACTTTTGCCGTGGTCATATGATTTTCAAGCTAATGTCAACATTGAAGAAAAGGGAGCAAAAGGGAAGCTGCCTCTGACCCGCATGGGTTATTATGGCTTGGAAACTTGCGAGGGACTGCAGTCCACCAGCCATCTGGCCTTGGGAAGAGTTCCTGATCCCCATTCAGTGTGCTTACAAAGTCACACAAACACATTTTCCTATATACCAATTGAATGTGAATAAATAATGAAAATTCATTGAAACTAAATTTTCTCCTAACTGAAATCCCATGCAATAAACTGCAATCAATTGTTTTCAATATTTCATTATCATGGATTGCAAGCATCTCTTCTCCATTTAGTGTCGGTGGCCACCACAACTTTTAGTGAAACGCAGTATATGGAAATAGTGAGAATTAAACCTTGAGGAAGTGTCCCACAACAGGAAAAAGCAATATTGGTACGATCCACCTTTACTTGAAAGATGTTTAAAGCTTGAACTCATTAAATCATTGTTTTAATATAATATACTACAATGTTATGCCTTCTATAGTTAATATATTATATATATATATATATATATATATATAATATATTAAATACCATTTTGTTAAACTATAATTTCTTGTGATCGACAGTTAGAAATATTGCAGAAAAATCGTAATCTCTCGTAGCATTGGGAGTTTACATCAGTAGTTCCTGAACACAATACATTTTAAAGTGGCAATATAACATCATGCAACTTACTGACCACAGACAAATAACAGAACGTTTTATCTGCATTTGTTCATTTGTGCAGGTGGTGGCTCTCTGCACGTTCCCTGAGCTGATGGACAGCCCTAGTTTCCCAGAGGATGCGAAATGGAGAGCACGGCGTATCCTGCAGGGCTGCGGGGGATACAGTCTCGGTGTGTGTGTGTGTGTGCATTTGTTCTTTTGAGGACGTGTTGTTGAAACTGGTTAAGACCTTGCCATTGAATCAGATAGTTAAAATCAAGTTAAAATACAGAACTGTTTACAACATGGCTCTGAAGCGATTGGAAGGCATCCATGATGCTTTGCAATTGCAGATCATGCACTTCTCACGAAGCTGGGGAACAATAGACCTGGATTGCAACACTGTTCTATTGAGGGTTGTTTTGCAATAGTAAGTGCTACTGTGCTAACGCATGCGTTTCTATCACAGGGTCATATAGTGCAAGCCAGGGTATAGAGCACATCCGCAAAGACATTGCCACATTCATAGAGCAAAGAGATGGAGTTTCTTCAAACTGGGAAAACATTTACCTCACTACTGGAGCTAGTGATGGCATTATGGTAATTAATTGTACATTTACAATCAATCAGAGACTTGACCTTGAGTGCTTACTCGTTTACCTAAACTTTGTTTTTAAGACTATTTTGCGGCTGCTGGTGTCTGGGAAAGACTCTTCTCGGACAGGTGTGATGATTCCCATTCCTCAGTACCCACTTTACTCTGCTGCAATCTCAGAGATGGCTGCAGTACAGGTCAACTACTACTTGGATGAAGACAACTGCTGGGCCCTGGACATAAATGAACTTTACAGAGCCTATCAGGCTGCCAAACAGCACTGCCAACCCCGAGTCATTTGCATCATAAACCCTGGCAATCCTACTGGTAGGTAAATTGTAAAGCTATCTTGTGTGCTAGGAAACAATGCCCTCGTGGCAGTTTGGATCCAATAGCATGTGCAGTGGAAAGAAGTGCGTGTTCTTTTTCCAGTCATGATCCCTTGTGATGATGCTGATGAGATCTAATAATACACACATATGATGCAATATTGCATACATTTGATTTAAGTCTTCTGAAGCTGATAACTTTGCGTAAGGAACAGAAACTGAAACTCACTTGTGGAATATAGAATGTGTTCTCTAGAATATATAATATTCTGTGTAGAATTCAAATGGGTTGGATACGTGATTGTGATTTGCTCCAGCTTGGGCTGTTCTTGTCTCTGCCTGGAGTGATGTGTACTGTGGTATTTCAAGTCATGCTGATGCAAAACCAGGTGTTTTGCTTTTATGGAAAGCATTTTTACACATTCTTTTCCCTATACCCTGTGCCATTCACTGTATAGTAAATAGTAAATGAGTGACCAAATTTACTGATTTCACACACAGCTTTAGCACCTCTTTAGACACTTCAGGTTCAGAGCATGTGTTTGGACAAAATCTGATGAGACTGTATTAAAATGTGCCACTTCAAGATGCATCATGCTAGGTTTGATGTTGATGTCTCGCTTTACTCTTTACAGGTCAGGTCCAGAGTAAAAAATGCATCGAAGAAGTCTTGCACTTTGCTTATGAGGAGAATCTTTTTGTTATGTCAGACGAGGTAAGCTGTGCTCTTTTGCTTTCACCATTTGAATTGGAAAGTCGAATTAGAAGTTCAAACGTTTAAAAGTTTGGGAACAGTTAGATTTTTTGTATTTTTCAATGCGAAGCGCTGCATGCAATGACTCTATGTTGCTTCAAGCTCATCATTCTGCACACTGGGTGCGCATATTAGGCGTATAAAACTTTTGGGTAGGTTCAGTGGGAATCAGCCATGGGCGATGGCCCCTCCCTGTGGAAATAGGCCTGCCAGCACAGTTGGAAAAAATCCTAGAGGAAATGCAAAATGCTTTTTTTTTAACCTTCTATTCATCAAAGAATCTTAAAATGTATAATGGTTTACACAAATTTAGAAATAATAAGAAAAGTTTCTTGAGCAGCAAATCAGCATATTAGAATGATTTCTGAAGGATCATGTGATGCTAAAGGGAAAACGTTGCTGAAAATTCAGCTTGTCCTTCACTGTAAGAAATAGACGCGTTAAATGTATTAAACAAAATAATTTATATTTCACAATGTTACTTTTTTTTTTTTACTGTTTTCTCTCAAATAAAAACCAACTTGAAGAGTATAAAAGACTTCTTTCAGAAGCAACAAAAAACCTTACAGACTGCAAAAGTTTGAACATTAGTGTACATTTATGTTCAATTGTGTTCTCAGTGTTGGTTTGTGCTTTTGCTGGCAGGTGTATCAGGACAACGTGTACGCTTCTGACTGTCAGTTCCACTCCTTCAAGAAGGTGTTATATGAGATGGGTCCTGAGTACTTTAACAGCGTGGAGCTTGCCTCCTTCCATTCCACTTCCAAAGGCTACACGGGAGAGTGAGTGTCCCTATCCTTGTACATTCACAGGGGTCAACATGTGCCTTAATTTGAGATGGCCTCCTTAATATCGGCTTTCACTGACCTTTCACACACTTTCACATGACATAACTGTAGTATCCTGAAAAAATATTTAGACATCGTCTGGCTTTGTAATTTGCAATTATAAATAGATGTGATGTGGAAAGATCTACCACCTTCAGTGACTAATTATTAGTATTTGTAAGGACAGCTTGGACTGGTGGAATTTAAAGGCAGTCTAGTGTCTTGGCCGGAGGCATTGTTGGATTAAATGCATTAAATCTTTGTTAAAACTCGTTCCTCTGAGACTAGTAGTTAAAAGTTCTTCATGCCAAATGTTGGCTGACTAGAAAGAATTAAAGATGCTGTAAGTTTTTGACTACTAAAGCATAAAAATACCATAGCATGTTTCCAAAATATTGAGTTCACATACTTGTTTCTTTGAAAAACAAAGTTATTTTACTTTGAACTTTGCGTTCTGTGTCAGAATGTGTGTTTTTGTTTTGGTCTGTGTGATCCCGCCCACTGACAATTTACCCAATAGTATTTCGACACCCTGGTTTGCCAGTTGCCAGAAAACAAAGTGTATTGCAGGCATGGAAGCCAGCAAACAAACTAGGTCAGAGATCGCAGAGTCTACCCGACCTATAAGCCTCGGCACCCTTCTAGAAATCTCTAAGAACTGGAGCATATTAAAACGTGGTACAAACTCATCATCATAAATCAACTGATCAATTTACAGTGTGTTACTCTCCTCGCCCTTTCATTGTCAATTACGCTCGTTCCTGTTGCGTGTCCTCAATCTGGCAACCCGTGTGAGCGTCGAGTCTGAGTGGGAGGGTGTACGTGTACAAATATAACAAATATCATATTTTGGCTATTAAATGTGGCAGCCTTGTTCGATAATTCAGAGAACTCATGTGACCATGTCCTTCCACAGGTGTGGCTTCAGGGGTGGATATATGGAGGTGATCAATATGGATCCTGAGGTTAAGGCCCAGCTGGTAAAGCTATTATCAGTTCGACTGTGCCCCCCCCTGGCTGGCCAGGCTGCAATGGATGTCATTGTCAACCCTCCACAACCAGACGAGCCCTCGTTCAAACAGTTCCACCAGGTCAGTCATGTAGTCTAGTGTCTGGTGAAGTAAAACACATTGTGTGCTGACACTGACATTAACTTCATTGTTATGTTATGTTTCAAGTATGCAAACGTGTATTTGTTATGCATCAGTTCATGTTATTACATGAACAGTCCTAAAGAAATTCTAGGTTTGGTTTTGACTGGGTGTGATGGTGTGTTTCTGATCCCTATCAGGAGAAATCATCTGTGCTGGGTGCTTTAGCAGAAAAAGCTAAGCTAACTGAGCAGATCCTGAATGCGGTTCCAGGAATCAAGTGTAATCCTGTCCAGGGGGCCATGTACGCCTTTCCTCGCATCTTTATCCCTCCTAAGGCAGTGGAGGAAGCCAAGGCAAATGCTCTTCTTACTTAAGCAGAACTTGAGCTCTCTGGTGGAGTATTATTGCTTTTAGAACCGGGATTCCTGGTGTCTGCTATTTTCCATGGCACTCCACATTGTTCAAACTCTTAACTTCTTTCATCACCATCAACGTGTGTTATCTGATTAGGAAGGGTGCAATATAGTATAGTATTACTAGTTCAACATTGTCTGCCCAGTAATCTTGCACGAATGGTTAACTAAATCCAACTGTATAAATATTATTATGTGTAAGAGCTACATTTCATGCAGACTGGTAGATTGCTGCAGAAGAAACCTTTTGTTACTGAATCATGCTTGACTTTTTTTTTCTTTTTTTTTTCTACTCGGATGAGTTCTGCAACTCGAAAACTTAAAAAAAAAAGGAAAGGTCTGAGCTGTCACTGAGGTGTTAAATCTGACTTGTTTGGTTCGGCAGGGTCTAGGAATGCAGCCTGACATGCTGTATTGCCTGAGGTTGCTGGAGGAGAAGGGGATCTGTGTTGTTCCTGGTAGTGGCTTTGGACAGAAAGATGGAACATATCATTTCAGGTAAACTGATACTCTTGTTATTTAAACAGATGCAGTCATTTTATCTGATATTAGGTGATTTCTTGACATGACCCCCTGGAAGTACACCATTTGAGTTGTTATTTTTGTCATGGGCACTGTTTGTTGGTTTTGTTTATTTTCACCTGTCATGTGACTATTCAGTCTTGCTCCTGCCTTCACAGACATGCGCAGTGCCAAACCCTACACTAGCTACTAATCCAGTTGCAAAAAAATAACAACTTTTCTTTTAATTTGCTGCTTTGCATGTCCAATAATTGGGTATCACTACGATTTGAATGTAAATCAGTCACCATTCAGATTTTACACTAAAACTTCATGTTTTGTTGTTACTTCAACTTTGGTTCTTAAACCTTAGGATAAAAACATTGCTCTATTGAAAACTATTCACCTTCTCCCAATACTCAAAATAACGTGTTATTATGTGATATTGTTTTCTGTGTATAGTTACTGCCACCTGTGTTATTAATGATGTATAAGCCAGCAACACTAACTTGTTTGCACTTTATGTTTCCCTATGTTTCAGGATGACAATCTTGCCATCCACAGAGAAGCTAAAGGTACTTCTTGGCAAAGTGCAAGATTTCCACATCAGTTTCCTGAAAGAGTATTCTGCTCTGGAGTAGCTACAGAGAGATGTGACCTGATTTGGAAAACATAAGATTGAATCATGATTTAATGAACTTTCAAGAAATACAGCCTTGTTTACTAATAATTTTGGGAAATGGTTTCTGGATGAGTTTTGGGGAACTATTAGGGGTTTAGTTCAGACATGCAACACTGTTTGAATGTTACATTTTTGTTGTTTTGTTTAGTCAATCATTTTCAATTCAACAATTCTGCAGCAGGGTGTTGGGTTAATAGACACTTTCTATCATACATGAGATTCAGTTACAAATATGAATTATTATTGACTTTCCAAACCTGGAACTGAACTATGAGTTTTGGCAAGATTGAGATGCACTCAGTTGAAATTCTTTTGTAGCACCTTATTTGAAATACTCAGAACTATTTTGCCTGATGCAAATTTAGCCATTTCAGTTCAGGAAGAGGGGGTGGGTTGTGATGTGAATAACACTGAAGGTACTAGGTACAGTACCTAGGTCATTTTTCTGGAAAGTTTACAAGGAGGGACTTTTGATGTTTCTGTTGTCCTCATCTTTAGTTGCACTCATTGCCATGCAATGTACATTAACATTTTATTTGACAAAATTACAAGCTTGGTCACAAGTTAAGCTTCTGTGGAAGATTGTGAGTGTGACTAGGGTGAAAACATGAAGCATATCTGGCTTGTAATCGTTTACTGATGTACTTTATTTCTTCTGCTTCGCCGTTAAAAGTTATTTTTAAACTATTAAACAAAATCCTATACCATGATGCTGATCATCACCTTGCTCTGTCAACTCAGACTCTGATCAGGAGTTCATTAATAACTACATGGCATGTGCAAATTGTGACTTCAGTAGCGTACAGTTAATCACATGCTTTGAAACAGTGAGACTACGATTCATTTCTCATTCTGCTGAAGATTAAGAGATTACGAAACAGGGGTATCAGAATGGGTGCTGAACATGAAACCCAGAGTTGGCACACTGATCTAAAACTTCATGAGCCAGGTTGTTCATGCACTCTCATGCATTTCTTGAAACTTATTTCATATGAGGTGCCTTTACTCATGCCTGTGAACTTTTAATGAAATGAGTTTTCCTACATGCATTAATAGCTTGTAATATTGATTTTTTTTTTTTTTAAAAAGCTTGTTTATGTTTTTTTACAGATATTTGAAAATTGGCCCAACCTTAACATTGTATATAGTATTTTTGATTGAATAATAAAGTTATGAAGACTGTTAATCACTTGAGTCTCATTTCTTTCAATTGTCAGTTCTGTCAGAATGCAGAACTGTATTTGATTATTAATATTATTGTCGTGGATCATTGTCGCATTACAGCTAAAGAAGGGATTTGGGCTGACTAAATTGGATTTATCACTTTCTTTTAATCTATTGGCCAATAGCTTTTAAGTTAAAGGAGCATTTCACCCATTGCAACATTAATCTTTATTGAAAGTGGATCATATATGTAGTCGAAATGTAAAATCATTTTTTAATTTGGTGCCCTCTTGACTGAGAAAAGACAGAAAATAACCAAGGGGCGCCTTTGTGTTAAAAAACTACAGTTCCCAGAATTCCCCAACATTGCACAGCTCCGCAAGACACACCCACTAACCCACCCACCGGAACAGCGCAAACAGAGACGCAAACACACTCTTCCGTCTACAACGCTAACATTAGCTGTTACCAGAGTAAGAGTTTGAAATTCATTTCAAACAAAATGTGTAGTTAAGTTGGCTGTGGCCAACAGGACGATCGAGGGCGAGGGATGTAAGAGTACGGCGCGCTGCGCGAGGCCGGTGGCGTGAGTGATAATGAAAGACACCTGTGAGGCGCGCGCCGGTGCGTCTCTCACGAATAGAAGGAGCGAATGCATAAAATGGGGAGCGACGACGGCAGATCGAGAGAGAAAATTTATGTTTTGTTTTTGTTGTGTGTAACGCTGGCTTACTTTCGTTTTGTATTTGTTCATTTTACTATTAAAATGTTTAAATGTTCGCCGGTTCATGCCTCTTTCTTCCCACAACATTAAACCCCGTTCACGTTACATTTGTAAACACATTAACGTTAGTGAATTACTCCGCGTTTGTATTCATTTCTGTATGGTGAATGACTGCATGATACCTGGATGTTCTGAAGGCGAAACTATCACAACACAAACGTCCGTGTGCTCGTCTGATTCAGAGATTTCCTCCAGGAGAAATTGCCATCGTTGAAATTCTCTGCAGCAGACGGACTCTGTGTCCGTAGGCCGTGACACGCAGCGAGAGTCAAGGCAACAGCAGGCCGCCGAGCTCGACCCAGTCCGGGCGTCTCCTGCTCCTCCATCAGCCTCAGCTGCTCTAAACTATACCGCAGCTCGTAAAGATAGCCACGAACATCGGATTCAAGCAGCAGACTTTCAAAAACCCTCTTCTTCCATATCATGTTTAGTTTCTTCCATTATCATAACTTCATATCTCCACAGGGCTTGTTAGCTTAGCTTCCAAACAAGATGGCGGATATTGATTTCAGGTTCTGCAAGTGAAGTCCCACCCACTGATCTGTAATAGGCTTGTGGGTGAGTGGGTGCCACACCCTTGAATAATAATGAGCTAATCATTGTAGTCTGTTGACATTTCAATGAAATGTGACTTCCTGCTTATCGTGACGCAAAATGACGATTTTTACGTCACGATAAGCAGGAAATAAAACACTTAAATCCTTATTTCTCCCATCTCAGGGGAAAATAAGGGAATAAACCATGACCATTCAAAAACATGACTGGGTTTCTAAAGATACAAAGCTTAATGCAAATGGGTGAAGTGACCCTTTAATGGCCCGCCTTTGTGTGGAACAGAGATCTTTTTCAACCAACTGTAAAGGCCGTTCTGCACACCCATTACTCTGACCTGCAGAGACAACACTTGCTGACGATGCCATCGCAGTCAATGGTGTAACATTAGGATGCACTGCCCTCTGGTGTTCTTTGCAGCCAATTACGTCATTTTAAGTCAGCATGATGTTTGAGACCACAGCAGAGAACGTCTATAGAACCACCACAGGCAGTATGCGATATTCCTGGGCAATCAAGATCATTTCTGCATGTAGTTCTGGGTGTTTCACAGGTGTTTCCTAAACTGCTCTGGTTTCACTGTCAGTTCAGATGTATGGTTTGTGAACCTGGTTTGTGACATTGTGTGTAGAAATGGGAAACTCTAGGTCAATTGGCTTTATGCACAGCTTCACTACTTCCTGAATTTCAGCCAGCTCCTTGTTTCCTGTCTGCCATTATTGGACACATTGATTAATTCAGGTGTGCTTGACCTCAGTAGTCATGGCAACAATAATCAGACACACCTGAATTAATCAATTTTGCCCAATAATGGCAGACAGGAAACAAGGAGCTGGCCGAAGTTCAGGAAGTAGTGCAGCTGTGCATAAAGCCCATTCTTACTCAAACACAGCCCGCCACAGAACAGGGCTCGCACAAATAAAAACTGTGCCCAAACCCAGTGCCCACAAACACTACACACTGCATGTCCCACGGTTTCTGTGAAAGGGAAACTAACACACATACAGCCAGCTCAGGCCAACGCTGTCCCACGCCCACATTCACTCATAGACATGTTAAGCCCCACGGGGCTCACCCTGCTCGCTCGCTCTCAGCAAACTGGTTTAAGGGAGTTAAGTGCTCCCCTAGTCGCTGTCTCCCAGTCAGAAAATATCTTTTCTGGGCACAGAACTGGACTCGCGCCAGAGCACAGTCTGAACATTCAGTGCATCACAAAATCCTTCCACTGTGGCACTATAGTCCCGCTCAAAAGGTTTCAAAAAATGCTGGGTCTCATCATCAGTAATCCAGGTTGGCGTCAGGTCCCGAAAATATGTGCGTGGTAATCTGAATTTGGGACCAGCCAGACTGTCCAGAAACAATGTTCCAACAGGAGAATGGTCTCTGCACCCGCAGACGGTCCTAATTCTGTGGGAAACATTTGGCAGAGCGCAGGTAGACCGGTTTGCGTCCCAAGAAAATGCTCACCGAGTTTTCTTCAAGAGCAGGGATGCCCACTCTATGCTTTTCCCCACCTTCTCGCTTCTGCATCAGGTATTGGAAAGAATCAGGGAAGACGCATGCTCAGTGCTACTCGTGGCTCCCCTCTGGAAAAACCAGGCTTGGTTCCCAGTTCTGATGCAGCTGACAAGCACTGCCCCATGGCCAATACCGATGAGGAAAGACCTCCTTTCTCAGGCCAAGGGCTCGATTTGGCATCCTCGCCCGGATCTGTGGTCCCTGATAGCACACATGGGCAATCCATGAGCAGCCGCAAACCTCCCAGAGGGAGTGTTAAACATGATCACGGAGGCTAGAGCGCCATCTACTTGATGGCTCTACTCTTAAAAATGGTCTGTGTTTTCTGGCTGGTACACCCCTAGACTGCAGGGTTACGGAAGTTCTCTCCTTCCTTCAAAAGCTACTGTATAAGGGCAGAACCTCATCCATGCTCAAAGTTATGTGGCGAACATAGCAGCCTTTACAAAACCCGTGACTGGCCAGTCACTGGGTAAGAACGATCTAGTCATCCGCCAATCCATTTGTCTGACATGAAACATCTGTCATTCAAGACAGTGTTTCTTATGGCTCTTGCTTCAGTGAAGTGCATAGGGGATTGACAAGCACTCTCAGTAAGTGCGACGTGTATGAAATTTGGGCAAAATGACTCAAAAGAGATACTCAAACCAAGACACGGATACGTGCCTAAATCCCTCAACACACTATTCAGGGCTCAGGTTATTTGCCCGTCTGTCCTGCCGGTTTACGATGAAAAGCATGCAAGCTTCCTTTGCCCAGTCAGGGCATTAAGAGCTTGTCTCTCTCGTTCGTTTTCAGACAGACTGAGCAGCTCTTCGTTTCATTCAGTGGACATGCTAAGGGACTAGCCACTTCGAAACAGAGCCTATCCAGATGGATAGTTGATAGCGCTGGCATACACGTCTAAAAGCTTGAAATGTCATTGAAGCATCATTTAAGTGTTAAAGTACACTCCACAAAAGACATGGCCAACCGCTTGAGCACCGCTTGCTAATTGATAAAATTTGTCCATGGGCAAAAGTAAGACCCATAATGTTACACAGTTCAGGCCGAATATTTTCACCCTGACTGTGTAAACACTGTTAATTTGATTAGCTCCCTTAGGACACTAACTTATTGGGAGAACCGAGGTTACGTCAGTAACAGAGTACGTTTGTTACCAGAATAATCCTGTTTGCCTCCATTTACTACTAAACGACATGCAAGAACGGGTGGACGGGGCTAAAGAGGAAATGAGAAGTATGCATTGATCTCCTGCATAAGCTTTATTTTGTCACACTGACAAACAATGTGGCAAAATCCAAAACTAGTCCTTGGTTTCAGCAAAATCTGTTTTTGGACTAACGAGGAAGTTGAGTTCTGAAACTTACAGAACTACTATTTTTTAGTACAATGACCTCTTATATGTCAAAAGATTTGATTTCTCAATTCATGACCTCTTTAATGCCGTGCCAACTTTAAAGTCTGTCTCAAAAGTAACAACTGCAAACAATCCCAAGTAACGATTAAAGCACCAAATAAAGCAAAGACTGATTATTTTGAGGAGATATTGAAAGACATTTTATTCAACAACTCAAACTTTCACAGAAGATATAAGCCTAAAGGTGCTTTTTCCTCCACTCATTTCATTGTGTACGATGTCTCTTTCTTTTGACAGACATTTCAATCAGTGAAGGGACCAAAATGTTCAACATGCACCTGGATAGCTGACAATAGGCAACTGATTTTGTTTCAGCTATTTCAAAACATAAAACACTCAATTGTGAACGCAGCCAATACAAAGCTTAAATGACAATCACTTATTTTATACATTTTATAGTCTCTTGTTCCAATTCTTAAAATATCAAAGAAAGGAAAAGAAAAAGAAAAAAAAAAATCTACAAATAAAATAAAGTGGTAAAAATTGCGCACAGATGCAAATAAGCCTAAAAAATTGATTGGTGATTAAGTCCCATGGAGGCATTTCTTATTCTTTCTTTTGGGATCTCTCAACTCCTCTTCCGTTAGGTCACTGCTCTCCAACAAGTCTCAAGTCCAGGGCCAAAACTGCATTTTATGGTTAGATTTAAACTTGTGAATACTATGACAACAACATTTACCCTTTTCTCTCTGAAGTGGGGTTGCCTCTAGAGGGCCGCAGGGAGAGAGAGGGGGGGGGGGGCAAGAAAGGGTTACTATATGCAGGATCATCTGTGCGTTTACTACAAGGGAATCAGGTGGTCAGGAATGGCTGTACGAAATTCTCATTTAAGGCAGCCCCGAATCGGATTATAAACACACCTGTTTATTGTGCAACTAGAACATTTTTTAATCCCCACTGTTGGAGCTGGACAAGGTATTTGCTGTGGTCAGGTTTACTGATGGGCACACTGCACGCCAGGCCCATGATGTCCTCCTTCTTCATCTGAGCTATCGTTGTATGCTTCACGGCGGTGACCACCAGAGGAGCTCTGGCTCATGTCAAACTCCTGCAGGTCCACTTCCTCTGCATCTCCAGAGATGACTGGCGCTTCAGCCCGTGTAGGCAGCAAGTCCTCTAACTCCTGCAAAAACAGGAGAGAAAAATTAGGGGTAAGAAACCACACTGTGTTCAGTAGTCAACGTCTGTAGAGGATCAAAACCTTTCATCAAAATTATACATGAATTTTGAACAATACCCGTTTTTGTCTTAGGACAACTTTGATGATCTTTATTGATCACCTTCAAATGTTGACTATTGTACATGCATTCATCCATCCCGATCACACCAAACGTGCTTTTCAGGTTTCGAAAACGCGAGGTGCAAAGCACTGCCCCGATCACACGCTTCTGCTTCACATGAACTGTTAACATTAACATGCGTTGAGAGCGTCTCCAAGTCTCTCTGCATATGCTGCGAGTTTGGATTGCTTATAACATTCATCTGGGAGCGCAATGTGCGCCAGTTCATCAGATTTTTAAAGCAAATGATTTATAAACCTACAGAGAAAGGGTTTAAACTTATTTTGAAATTGGGGAGTTTGCATATCTTTTTCAAATTAAAGTGGCCGTAGCAGTGTTCTTGTAAAGTGGCCAAATTAAAAAAGAATTTTTAATTTTTTTTAAAAGAATTGTGAATTTTTGATTATGAATGTTTTCCATGGCTTAACCTTAACCAGTTGGCTTAACCTTCAAATGGTCTTCGTTTCCTGTTTACACTTCTGGGCTTCAGGGTCTATACGACCCCAACAATTGATTGAGTAATTGTACAAAAAGTATACATTTTTAATCATACAAATAATATATAATTTTTTTTGTTTACTTATCATCTATTCATTAATGCTGTGTTTTGGGAGATATAAAGTACTTTTGTATCCATATAACACATAATTCCTCAACTACACCATTAGCTTTAGCATTAGCATATGAAATGTTATTTTATGAAACATTGCATTATGCTCTAGTACTAGGCCTTCATTTCTGTGTAAAAAAAAAATCAGATTTATGCCAGATTTCATTATATGAAGATTTTTATTTTTTTATTTTTCACATTTTCCATTCATTTCAATGTGGGGTCATATTGACCCCATTGACCAGAAGTGTAAACATTTTTTTTACATACCTTCAGAACGACCGAATTAAGCCCAGTTTTTGTGTGTGCATGTGTATAGATAGATAGATAATGTATGAAAAGTCACAAAATCTTATTCCACTGAGATGAAGGGAATAAGATTGTCAAAATAAAAGTTATTTTCAGCCCCATTTTATTTGAAAAACAATAGTTTAAAAAGTAAGTGAAAATGACAAGTTAAAATAATAATTTGAACGTTTTAAAATATAATTTGTTCCCGTCACGTACAAAGCCGAATTTTCAGAATTTTACTGAGAATTCAGTAAAATTCTGGAAATTGTAATTTCCTTTATTCGGAAATTACAATTTCCGAATTTTTCAGCTTTTGAAAAGTAAAATGGTCTTACCGTCAGCTTCTCGGGGCTTAACCAATTGTTGTCTGGGAACTGAACATCAAACTTGATGAACAGGTCACCCTTCTCAAAAGGGTTACGGTACTGTGGCATGCCCTCTCCTCTAACAACTCTAATTGAACCTGCAAAATGACAAAGTTTTCAGACAACGCAACAAATCACTTAAAGAGCTACAAAACTCATTTCAAGAGGACTCACCTGGCTCAATGACTTTGCCAGCTGGGTATTTCACCACAATCTGTCTAGCATCTAAGTGTTTCAATGTGAAATGGAACCCACAAAGTGCTTCAACAAGGCCGATCTTATGGGTCATGTGCAAGTCGTTGCCCTCTCTTCTGTACGTCTGAAAGAGGTTTAAAAGATTTAGCTTTCCAATGCTTTAGGTGATATCACATATTAGTCAAAATCAGACACATCTCCTTCACAGACCCTGTAAACACTTGAGGCATGCGAGGGTGGATAAAAAGCTGTAAAGCAGCATGTTCATGACACACTGTCACTGCAATCTGCTTGACAATATGTCATATACACTTGGAGATGCAAAAGAGGGAAAAACTCCAACGTAGTAATAATTGTTACAGGCAAGTAATTTAGTAATTGGGCCTAAAAAAAAAAAAAGTTTGGTTCCGGTTGGTTGTCAGTTGAGGTCATGGGTCGGTAGGGATTTTTTTTTTTTTTTTTTTTTTTTTTTTTCAGTGGCAGCAAGGGATGGGTAAGAAATTATTCAGGGCTCGACATTAAAGGGATAGTCAAACCTAAAAATATCAAAATTGAAACTACTGTGGAAACAAAGACACCTACATCTTGGATGCCCTTGAGTTAAGCTAAAACATATCAAAAATTAATTTCAAAGTGAACTATCCCCTTAAGCCTTTTCACGTGCTTGCCCTCCGGACAAGTAAGTAAATCTGTCAATCACTTGTCCGAGTAAAAAAGTTGCTTGTCCGGATTTTTAAAATGTATTTATTTTTTATTCTGAAGCAATATTCTCATCAGTGTTCAATCAGCTTTGATATTTAAAAAGGCAAATTGTAATATCTGCACCTTTAAGGGCATCCCCTCCACCAATATTATTAAATGCCCTATACTGTCTTATTATTCTAAATAATTTAATTTATTGATCAAATTTAGGAATTTAAAATGAAAGATGAAGCATACTGTTACCCTAGGTAGGGCTGATGAAATTAAACCATTTACACTGAAAAATTACAATTTCATAAAATAATGTTATGAAATTGATTTAAATGTGCAAATAAGAAATATTGGAAAGAATTATACTAGGCTACTTAACATAACACTAAACTGCCAATAGGTGGCGGCAGGCGGCCGTATAAATGAGTGAGTTATTGATTCATTAATTCAAACGATTCGTTCAAACGGTTCATTCATTCAAGAATGAGACAGATGTTGATGTTTATGAATGGGTCATTGAATCCTTGACTCAACCGATTCGTTCAAAATGCTGAATCATTCAGTAATGAAAACAGGATGAGTTCCTGTGAGATGCGTCGTGGTTCTGCTGTGACTTTTCTTTGGAACTATTTTCGCTGCTGAAATGGAACAAAAACACCCAATATTGCTTATAAACAGTAAGTGACTTAATCTTAACTGTTTATTGAACTGTTGTAGAAAATCAATGTCACTTTTTCAATCGTGATGGTATTCAGGAAAAATAATTGAGGCTGCTTAGTGCTTAACATATGTTAAAATATAAAAACTCCACATTTAGATTTTTTATAGGCAGAGTATGTTGTTAACTGTGTGTGCTCCGCTCATGTGTGTAGATTTCTCTGCGCGAGCGTCAACAGCGCAACCTTACCATCAGTAATACAGTAGGCCTGCTACATTTATTATCCACAATCGATCGCAACTTGCAATAAATGTAATAAAATCAGAATCATTCTCTCGGTTTCGTGATTCCCTAGTTATTTTTTTGTTTGTTATTGATGTTCTAATCAGGCTACTTGTCCGTTGGGGCGAGTAAAATTCTCTTTTACTTGTCCTTCAAAAATCCATTTGTCCCGGAAAAGCGGACAAGTTAGACGGGCTCTAGATACGAACCGCGGCAGGTTAGAGTGTTTTGGATTGCATAAAATAACGAAAGAAACGAACAAATACATGGCGAAAGAAGTGCTAGACAGCAGAAGATGGGATTGGGATCATGATTGGATCATGATAGGATGATTTTTTAATAAAACTAGGCGGATGGAGGTATTAGTATGTGGTGTGTGCATGCCTATGAATGCATGTATTTGTATGTGTGCGAATATGAATAAAAATATCATAAATTACAAAAAAAAGACTTGTATAATATGTATTATAGTTCAGTTTGACAAACGATATCTGCCTCGTTTGTTAATAGATTGCTGGAGGACAAGATGCATCTTACATCGCGTGCTATAAAAAGACGGAGCTGTACAAAAACGAGTTTTTTATTTGTGTATTTATTTAATTTTTATTATTTCTTCCCCAAGCTCATAAAATAATTTTGGGTCGCACATAAATTGACAGGGTCGGTCGGAAACCGGAAACAAACAATTTTTTTTTTTACGCCTTGTTAAAGGCTATTGGCTAAAGGCTAACTGTGCAGCCTCTCTGCTCTATCCGTAAATAAATCCATCGATCCGCTGTTTACGTTTGAGTTATTCAATGGTCTAGTGGGAGATCTTTTGCCAAGCGTGTCAGAGGTTAAGGGCTCTAACCCACACTCATATTTTTTTTTTCTCTCATCAAAACTGAATATGTTCATCAGTGGTTACAGTCCAAATCAAGCAGGGACACGTTTGTTATATTTTGTGATTTCAACGGAATGAACAGAGTCCACAGAGATTGAAGTGCGCCTCCGAGTGAAGACTGCGCAAGGCACAGAGAACACCGTATCATGACACTGATCGCCGCGGCAACGAGCACACAGCTTGAGTCCAAAAACACATTCAGTGCTAGATTTCTTATTTAATAGCAGACTAAATGAATGCTCTGCTAGCTAACTGGAGATGTTTTATTCATTTATATTAAGTACATGGAGGGACAGAGACAGACTGCACTGGATCTCTAAACCAGTGTTTCCCAACCAGGGGTACGTGTACCCCTAGGGGTACGTGAGCAGTCCCCAGGGGGTACGTGGGATGATTCTCAAAAGACTATAACATTTTTTTTAACCACAGACTATTCTCAAAACATTATATAATATAATTATATAATATAAAAATATATATTATATAAAATTATAATCATGTTATAATATGGTTACCCTGTCCTTCCCGCCAAATGTGCTTGTCTGTTTTGTTCCTATGCTACAGTATGGAATTCAAATACATTAGTGACTCAAAACATTTCTCAAACTTTTCTTAAAAATTTTATTTTAGGATTGGATTAGAAGGATTATTTTTGAACTTGATTATTCATTTTATTGGTTTATTTTTGTATTTAAAGTTTGTAAAAAAAAATATTATTATTATTATTATTAATCTTTGTTTTTGTATAATTGGTCTGAACATGGTCACAAATATTGAACAAAGACAAGTATTATATTATAAGAGTTATAAGAAGTCAAAATATCATTATTTACAGGTAAATTCAGGTATCACCTAAAATTTACACCAAATCTAAAAATCACACCGATCACATGCGCTTGTGGGGGTACTTCAGGCAGGATAAAATGTTTTGGGGGTACAGTACCCAAAAAAGGTTGGGAACCACTGCTCTAAACCAATCAATCTAACAATCTATAGATGTGACCAGTAGTGGTGGCTTTCTTAATCTGTTTAAAATAATTTTGCAAGGGTTCTTGGGGAAAAAAAAATTAAATAAATAAATATAACCAAGAAATTGAAAGAAATGATCCCTCTTTATCTACCTCTCTAAGTGCCCGCAAAGTCTGACTAAGCATCCTAGAAAAAAAGCAAAGTTATAGATAGCCTATATGGAAGATGTTAGTTAGCTATTTGTAGTTTTTGTTGCTGTGCACTTTACTACCTGCAGCCCTTTAAGTGTATTAGAAAAACTGATGGCTAACTGACTCGAAACATTATTTCGGCTATAGCTTTTTGTTGTTGCTGTTTTTAGTTTAAGTCTAAAGATACATTTAAAAACTCAGATGTTCAGTCTTTTATTTATTTTATATTCTACAGGAAAGTTATGTCAAGCCCTAAGCTGCTCCCAATAACCAAGCTGCTAAATTAATATGCTGGACATGTCGCTGGCAAATAAATACACAGGTGTCAATTCATGATACATTGTCTTCTTTCGAATGTAATACTTAATGTACATTGTTGTTAAATATAGTTTACTAAGTAATGCTACATGATAGATAGAAGTCTTCAAATAGACCCTGTAATCAGTGATCGGTATCTGGTGATACAGCTTCCAGTAATCAGGGATCGGTCCCAAAAATCCTGATCCTGAAATGGTTTAGGCTCCTCAGTACTTCAGCGAGCTTGAAGACAAAGTCCTTCACATCTTTTGCGATCTCAAAATTCTGTCCAGTTGACAATACCTAAGGTGCGTTCCATTCGACCGTAAGTGGACTGCGAAGAGGACTTCACAGGGTATTTCGCCATCTTAAGTGAGATTCCAATTCGAAGGGAACGAACATGTTCAGTTCGAAGGGCACTGCAAACGGCATAGGGAATAAGGGAACATCGATACATCACTTCACAGGAAGTCAGTGAAGTCCACTTCAACTGATATACCGTGTTCAGGGAGTAGGGAGCAGTGAACACTGCGCAGGGACCCTGTCGAATGGAACGCACCTCTAGAATATCAAAATCAACAACAGGGGGAAGATCCTTTTCCTTATTTAAAAACCAAACAATCTGTGTCTGTTTCCCAAACAACACTTTTAAGTTTAAATCTATTAAAAATATCTTTTTAACCTTGCATACACAACACATTATTACATTTCTAAACTCAAATCTACTAAAGGATGCTTAAGCAGCATTACACAGGTCAACCGGAACACTTCCCACAACAGCTGATGTCCTGCTTACATCGTAAGAAGAAAAGCATCTATGCTGATATTTATCTGTCTGTCTGTCTCATCCTTATTCAGAGGTTACCATAGTCAGCTGGGTCCAGGCCGTGTTCAGATCAGATGGTGGACCTGCACCTAGACGCGACCACAACACGGCCCTGAATATCAGAAGAGACCATGGTAACTAGACCTAGACAATATCCTGTAAAGACCTTGTTGACATGACAGACATCGGCACAGATCCTCAGCAACCAGAGAAGTCTTCTGCACAGACCCTGAAAGCCAACTTCATCTCCATACGATAAATCTGATCTTCAAGCAGAAGGAACTGGATGTAATATTTTGAATGATACCAATCACAATCTGTTTTTTGACTTGCGATATAGCCTGTAATTAAACCACACAATGTTCATTTGTTGGCCAGAGCAGATCCTGCCCACAAATTGAGCCTGGTTTCTACCAAGGTTTTTATTCCTCCATTTGTCACCTGATTGAGTTTGGGCTCTTTGCAACTGTCACCTCTGGTTTGCTTAAAACACCTGATGCACACGCACAAGCACGCGTTTCAAACAGCATGCAAACACTTGATTCCTCTTTCGCATCTCCTTGTGCTTGAACGGACACACGCACACAAAAATGGTGTAAAAATACTCAAAGTATTTTTGTAAAAAATATTTGGTAATGTCTTAAGAGAACAAACAGTAGAGAAAGAAATCAGATGTCTATCATTATATTGGATCAGTGGATTAGGCCTAAAGTGCCAGCAGCCTATAAATACCTGCTGCTATCCATGTCATCAATGTTAATCAAAACAACTTTAATAAAGATCCATCTATATTTAATGTACACAATGAACTCGTGTGTCATTTTAAATTCAGGCCTAATTACTACATTTCTGTACCTGATTATCACGGTTCATTAATGAGCACTGTCCCTTTCAAATAAAAATAATAAGAAGGAGTTTATTGAAATACCTCGTGCTCCTTTTCCTGCAGGACCAGGACAATGTCTCCAGGTTCTACTCCAGGTGCCTGGTCAGCCTCACCGCCGAAGGTGATCTTCTGTCCGTGCTTCATACCTTTATCCACATGCACCTCCAGAATTTTCACTTCTTTAATCACCTTCTTCCCCTCACACTTTTTGCAGCGGTCTTTCTCACTGATCACCTCACCTGGATCATAAAGAAACCATGAGTAGGGTGACCAACTGTCCTGTTTTCCCAGGACATGTCCTGTTTTCATATAACAATTTTCTATCCATACAGAGGAGGCATAATCTACTTTAAATGTATTGAAATTAATAAGGTATCTTTGAGTAAACTTCGAGTATCATTTGAGTTGGCCCATGTGTTTGCTGGGCCGAGTGTCCTGGTTTTTGGTCACCCTAACCATGAGCAAAACTTCGGTCCACATGAACATGCTGGCTGAGAATCACAACTCCGTAACACTACTGGTCAGAGTGGATTCAGTCCCTTACCTTCACCATTACAGTCAGTGCACACTGACTGCATCTGTTGCACCATGCCAGGAGCCAGCTGTCTGATCATTATGCGCATACCACGCCCTCTGCAGGCTGTGCACTTCTGGACCGCACCAGACTTCCCACCTTGACTGAGGAAACAAAAACAGCCACGAACACTTCAACACATGAATTAAGTAAAGGAAAAAATTCAAACTCTTTAAAAGCCTTTGTGGTCTGTACAGCTCAGACTGATTTCAAAATCCAGTAACTAAAAACACGGTATTTATTAAACTGACTGGGTGTGGTTGGACAAAGAGACACTCATCATTACAAATTGTCCTCTAATTCTAATCTAATTGTCGTGAAATAAATTAAAATCTTACTCACCCATTACAAGTGCTACAAAGAACATTCTTGCTCAGCTGTAATTTGGTTGTTTTTCCATTGTACAAATCTTCAAGTGACACCCTATGGGAGGAAAAAAGGGTGAGAAAGCGCTTCGAGAATCCAGAATATTACAAAAGCAGCCTAAAAACAGATTGGAACCCAGCCCCTCCAAAACCTTAAGATGTTTAACCTCCTAAGCCCTGAAGGCATTTTTAGAGTCGTTTTTTTTATTTATTTTTCTGATTGACATACACAAGTAAAGACTCATAAATCCAAAACTATAGCAAAGAGAATCAAAGGGTAGGTATTGTTTGATAAAACACTTTATATAAATGTATATTATATTGACATGTTCTTGCTGAGAAACTGCTGATAAAAGGCAAAATAAAAATACTTATTATAATATAGACAAATACTTAACACTTTACAATATGGTTCATTAGTTAACAACCTTAGTTAACATACTAAGAATGAACAATACTTATACAGCATTTATTAATCTTAGTTCATATTAATTTCAACATTTACTAATACAATATTAAAAGTCAAAGGTTGTATTTGTTAACATTAATGTACTATGAACTAACATGAAGAAATTTAACTACAACATGGTTTATTAATTAATGCAGTAACCAACATGAACTAACAATGAACAATGCATTTGTAACTGTATTTGTTAATGTTAAAGTGTTACCCAAATATATAACAATCATTAATTATTTGTTCATATAAAGTATCAAAGTAATCATAAGGTTTTTATTGAACAACGCAGCTAAAATACACCACGTAAAAAAATGATATACATAACTTATGTACATTATGTAAAAAGAAATGTTAAACTTTTGAAATCATGATGCAAATTGTTTTTCAGAAAGATGTTCATGTATTCTCGTGTTAGCGTAAATTTACAAATTAGTTGCGTTACGAATCTTATGAAACGGCGCAGATGAACAATATAAGCAACACAAACTCACAGCACGCAGAGATTGAGTTTGAGAAACCTGAGATGCTGACATATAAATGATGACAGTGCATCTATGAAACATGATTCCCTTATTGGAAAAACAAACAGAAGAGAGCTGAGGTACTTTCAACACAATCTGCATTCATGTAAATTAAATTTGTTGCGCTTCTCAGTGGAAAACAAAACAAATTGCATTGTTTTTTAACTGAATCACAGCCTTTGTGATTTCATGATAGCACTACGCTATATTATGATTGTAAATGGTTTTAAATAGATTACGTAGACTTCTAAAACGGTGTAATAATGTGGTTCATCGATTCTCGTCCGTTGAATGCGTCACTTTTGGTATTTTGCCGGTCACTCGACTCAGGTAAATTCCAATCGTAAATTGCAATTTTTTAAATCAGGTACTCTACTTTAATCGAAGAATCGGAGGTGATCTCTCGCGCATGTACGTCACTCATTGAGTTTACACAGAGATTTCGGATTTTATAAACATATTTAGATATACAGGAAATTGCAATGGAAGACGATTTCGATATTTAGATCTTCACAGTGAAAGGTAAAACTTCCAAAATCTTTGTGTAAACACAATGAGTGACGTACATGCAGGAGAGATCACTTCCGGCGCATGCGCAGAGAGAAGCGCCCATGCCTTCAGATCAGTTGGACATGGCTGTGGTTACAAGAGGTAAAAACGATACAAATACTATTCGTTTTCTCACACAAACCGCTCGTTTCGTGTCTTAGGCCATCAATGTGTACTTACATTTATGAGTCATTAAATCGTGTTTAATTTGGACTTCTCTGTACATGCTCTTTGAGGTGGACCCAGGGTGATCCCATAAACCTGCTTTACATGACTGAGACAACAACGGTTCGACCTAAAAATATCAAAATTGAAACTATTGTGGAATACACCTGCATCTTGGATGCTCTTGAGGTAAGCTAAAACATATCTAAAATTAATTTCAGAGTGACCTATCCCTTTAAGATAAAATTAAAAAGATTTAAAATTATTCCTCTTTTGTCATTCCATTCAGTTGTTGCTTAGTAAATTGATCATTTATTCACAGGGGGTGTTTGGATTTAAGGGGTTAAAGCTTAACTATACATGTGCTTGGCCACAGTAGGAGAGGGGGAAATAGAAAGGAGGTCAATGTGACCGCTCAAGGACCGAGGAGAGCAACAATTTTACACAGATCTCTAAAAAGTGGAAGCCTTGTGATTTCACTTACTTCAGGGGGTGGACCATATCTTCTCCTCGCCGCCGCCCTCCGTTCCTGCTCCGACCCTGTCCACCCATGAAGCCAAACAGACCACCGCCAAAAATATGGGAAAATATGTCATCCATCCCACTTCCTCCACAGCCACCTTCTCGCAGACCCTGTTCTCCATAACGGTCGTACAATTCTTTCTTCTCTGGTGTAGTTAGTACTTCATATGCAAAGCTAATCTCTTTGAACTGAAGAAAAAAAAAAAAAGAATAAATCTTTGAATAAAGGCATTATTACTACTTTAAATGGGTAGTTCACCCAAAAGTTTATTCACACATCCAAACCAAAAAGACATTCATCTTCAAAAAGACATTTTAAATGAAACCCGAGATGCGTGTAAATGAAATACATACCCGAGATATGTTTAAATGAAACCTGATAAAGTCCATACTACCAAAACTTTGATTCTCCAAAAACTGATATTGTAAAAAAAAAAAAAAAAAAAAAATCCATATCCAAGCAGATACTCATTTTTCAATCAAGCACGTTTTAGCATCTGTTCAATTTTTCATGTTCTTTTTGTATGTGTACTGATCAATGTGCGGTGTAAACAAAAGGCTAATTTACATCAGTTCAACATATAAAGCTATCATGTCCCTTCAAAAGACACTCAGGTTTCATTAGATAGAACTTCATTTGTTTTTCAAAAGACAAACATTCAAATAAATGAACTATAACCAAGATTTCATAAATATTTCAACATTTCCCAATTGAACTGAAATGCACAAAACTACCACAATCCCTCCACAGCACACTCATTTAACAGTGTTTTAGATTTCTGCATGTCGTCTTATGAATGTGCACTATATTTGGATAAAAGTCATAATATTATTACGCAAGTTTTCTTACCTTGTCCCCAGCATTTGGATTTTTGTCAGGGTGATATTCCTTTGCCAATTTCCGATAAGCCTGAAATATATTAATGTTTCAGAAGGTTAGTTTCACTTCAAAAAGCATCAACGAAACATCCCGTATTTAAACAGTTGTCTTAACAAAAACAACACGTGCTAAAGTAGAAAATTAATTATGCCTTAATATCCGACCTAGCATATAGCAAGATTTTAGCATATGATTAGAGAACGACTCCTAAAGTATAAGTATAAGTGTGTGCGTCACGTTTGAAGCCGCTTGAACAGCGCAAATTAATATCATAATACAAAAACAACAAACTAGGAAGTTAAAACTACTAACGCTCCTAATTGAACAGATATTTAAAGTCTGTTCATCGACTCTGCGTGGCTTGCGCCAGAGCTGAAATCCATCTTCGCCAAAAACATAACCAATTGTAATTGACAACGAATACAAAATAACCACAGGACCATCCTACGCAATTAGTTGTACATGTGACCTCTTTGGCATTATGACACATGGAAATGGAAAAGCCCTGAGTCAAGGCCTACAAACCGGCCACACTGTGATCTGATGCTAACTGTGTTTTCAGCCGCTAACGTTACATGACGATGTAATTTTACAATGACTGCGCTAATGTTCAAGTCACGGCTAAGTTCAAACACACACAGGTAAATGGATATATAAAGAGACAGAAGATCGGCTTGATTACAACCCACAACACCGCTCCATCTCGTCGGTTTTGTCCGACGATCTGGTAACTATAGATACTACTAGGCCAAACTCACGACGAGCTTTAGCTCAGTGCTAATCTCTCTCTCTTCCTGATTCACACACACACAACTTCACACTCTGAATCAGCGCGAACAACCACCGAAATTAAAGACAAGACACATAAATCCGTACCTTTTTCAGTTCGTTCTCGGAGGCCGAGGGTGAGACCCCGAGAATATCGTATAGTTTGGTATCGGCGACGTTGGACATGGCTTTGCTGAGTGAAGGACTGTCTGCGCGAAGCGGAGCGACGAAGAGAGACACCGGCCGGAAGCGTCAACTTTAACCTCTGCACACGCGCCTCCTCTCACAGTCACAGCACTAGCACATGTCATCACGATATAACGATAACTATTAAACACATCCTTCATTTTAATATTAAGAAACTTTATTTTTGACCAATATTGTTTAAGAAATCCAATAAAGTAATTTTACATGTAATGTTATCCAATCCAACCAAAACCATTGCGTGTTTATTACACTGGTCCATGTTGTCCATGCTGCTGCTTATGAGAGACTATTCTGAAATGTATGGTTTTGTTTATTAATGGCTGTGGCTTCCATAAACCATTTTCTTGAATAATTGATTATTATTATTATTATTATTATTCGCCTATGTTTAAGTGTATAAATAATTTTTAATATAAAACTTCATACAATGCAATAAAAATCCCACAAATAAAAACAGTAAATAAGTAGGCTACAAAACAAATTGACTTAACAAAACACATTTCAAAACATTATAAAAAAAAACTGTATTTAACACATATCTTTCTCATATAATATAATTTTCTTATTGTACATTATTTTCACTGTATGTTTTTGATGTGTGTGCTTTTATGTATCTTTACTATCCCTAATTTTGCATTAGTAGGCTCATTTGAGAATAAATTACCTATATTTGCTTTCAGCCCCCTCTGTTGGTACAAAATAATCCCTACACGATTGCTCTTGTGACCAGCAGGCTATATGCAGAGAATTTGTGCTGTTTTGATCTTGCAATAAAATTTCAAGGGGCAGCTGGGGCACGCACGCACGCACTCACGCACTCACACACACACACACACACACACACACACACACACACACACACACACACACACACACTGGTCCCTGGCCTTGTATAAATACAATGCAGCATCAACGACACCATATATATATATATATATATATATATAAAACATGATTTTCAAAGCATTGATTTAATGTTTGCACACAACAGTTATGTTCCAATGTACCACGTTGAAATTGTAGCCTAATAGGATTTTTTTAAAAAAAATTTTTATTTAATTTATGCACAGAACTTATGGAATTTTTCACAGAGCGAAGACAGAGCGCTGTCTCTGATATAAGTGAGCGTCGAGGACTGGAGCGCGGTGAACCTGCAGTGGAGTGATTATTAACACTTTAGATCAAGAGAGCTCTCTAATCGTAATTGTTACTAGAAAGAATTGAACTGTAGAGCTCTCTAATTGAATTCTTACTATACTAGCAAAAATCACCATCTAAGGTGGTTCGGAATTTTGGACATTGGGACCGTCTCTAAAGTTACACGACATTGATACACCAGTGGCGGATGCAGAACATGACAGATGGGTGGGCCAGGATTAAGTCGAGGTGGGCCAGAATCGTTTCTAGATTTTGTATTAGCTTGCCTTACTATTAGATAGGCTATATTTATTAAGATGAGAAATAAAAACTGCACTGTACAGCTATGATCAGCTGTTCTGTCGAGCTTTCGAAGTTGTTACGGAAAGGCCGAAGCTGATCAGTTGTTTTTTGTCACATGACCTGCGGTGCGCTTGCGGCACTCTCGAAAAGTTGAGATGTTTTCATCTCGCCGCGTCATATGCGCGCCTGGACAATCGAGCGCGCTGCAGCCTGCATCACATGCATGGCAAGCCAAAATATTCATAAACGCTTGTCAGGCGTCTGATTGCACACTGACCCGTCAAAAGCATGCGGGACGCGCGATTTGCAAATAAAAACGCGTGTTCTTAACGTGTACTATGTGGTCACGGAAAACGCGCGTCAGAAACTCGTGGTTTATGAATATTTTTTAAAAAATAAATAATGTATGAAACCTTATTGTAAAGTGTTACTGGAAATACAACTGGAAAATTTGCGATATGTGTCTCGGACGAAGGGATTAGGGACTGTACAAGGTGCTGAAATAAAAAATAAAAAAAACAGTGAACGTGAAACCGAGAGTTGTTTTTCTTTTCTTGTTACAAAAACACTTCTGAGGCATAAAACACCTGCAGACAGAAGCAATCTCGTTTAAATAGCAGCTCACACGTTGAGGACGCACGTTTTGATGCAAAACCGGGAGTTTCTCTAATGCGCGTTTTCCGTGACCACAAAGCGCATGTTAAAGGGATACTCCACCGGGTTTTCATATTAAACTATGTTATTCCCTTAATTAAGACGAGCTGATGCTCGTCTCAGTGCGTGCACTCTATCGCTCTGTATTGCCGCAAAACTATGTTAGCACTTAGCTTAGCCCAGTGCATTAAATATGGGCCAGAAAGAGAAGTGACAAAACACTTCCTCGTTTTCCCTATTTAAACAGAGTTACTCGATTAGTGTAACTCGACCTAGGCTGGTGACACAAAATAAAACGTTGTGTTTTTCTAAGCGTTTAAAATTGATGACTATATTGTATGGCGGAATACCATAAAAAAGTGCTTTAGAGCACTTCAACTTGGCGCAATAATACCTTCACTCGTGAAAAGTCCTCTTACCGGCCGGTTGGCTAAATCGTATTGCTGTGGCCATTTGCTGCCATCGCGTGGTGATTTAGGGTAAATGACATTTCATTCCGAGATGAACTGCGATGTAGGCGGTCCTGATTTAATTAGCTCCTGCGGCCAACCTGCAATAGCAAACTACGATCGAACCATCTAATTCATTTCGATGAAAATACTATCTACTAAAAGAGTATCATGCTGACTTTAATGTGAATGGATAATGTCCTGCTGTTTATTACTGCAAGTGTAACAACAGCAACCTACAGCTCACAGACATGCCGGTGTGATATCGCCTAAAATTTACAGTAAACTTCAGATATATTAATATATATATTTAGGCCCTAAATATATTTGATTATAATAAGTTTAGCATCAAATATTCAAAAAGTGGTATGGCGCTATAAGACTCAACAATGCCAAGGTCATGGCCTGATAAAATACAATAATGATAAAAATGGCCAAATGAGCGGTTTAAGCGTATTGAGACAAATTGATTTTGTAATTGATGGCAATGTGTAGCTAGTCAGAAGCTTCTGCCATTATTTTCCATGGTAAAAGCAATGTCTCTGTTTGGTGGATCGGTATTCAGGATTATGAGTAGCCTATAGAAAGTCAGTCGTGATCGAAGGAATAGTTCACCCAAAAATGAATGAATAAATAAATAAATACATTTACCCACTTTCATGTTGTTCCAAAGCCGCACCATCATGAAATGGTCATTGTCCACTTTATTCAAAGCCATATATTCTGTATATTCCAAGCCGTTGGTGTGCAGTTCAATCCAGAACGGTGTTGATCCCTGTGTGAGTCGATAATTGTGAAGACTAACACATGGTTTCTTTGGAAATGAGACCTATTCACGATATCAATAATTCACAATTAAACCAGGAACTTGAAAACAAATGGGGACACTTTTCATTTTTAAAATTCATACTGACTTCAACCTCAGTGACAATCACTTTGGGTGGCCGTGGCCTCGAGGTCTCATGGAGGCTGTGACCTGCACAGCGTCTGTCCTTTACAAGACATGCGAGGTCTTGAGTGCTCCTGCAGCCTAATTCAACATGACAGATCAGTGAGATAGACACTGCGAGGACTAAAGAAAAATAAGTGAACAGAAAATGAAATGACAGTGAAGATGAAAGGCACGTTCTAGTATGTAGACACAGTCATTCAGTAATGGGAATAATGAAATATTAATACTGGTGATCTTCGACTGACTGAATAGACTCTAAGGGTAATAACAGGAAATCTGCATGCTGGATGATTTTTTTTTTTTTTTTTTTGTGGTTGCAAAGTTATTCCACGTCATACAGTACATCAATCAAAGATACATTAGGTGGTGTAATTTTAATAAAATGTAACTGCACATCTCTCACATCAACATCTTTACAATTATTCATGTTATGATTAAAATGGAAGCGCAGTATAATTTGATATACAACATATATTGGTTAGAAAATATATTCCTGCTTATTTTTACTTATTTAACAACAAAAAGAATAATTTCTATACAAAAGCTGTAAGCATCATTTACAATTTTCACACTTTATCTGAAGCTTGTAATGGATAAGTTGACCCTCCAAAAATTGTATGTCTACAGGTTAAAGAACATATAACATATGTGCTGTGGTCTTTAATGACCACTGAGACACAATGATAAGTGCACACAGGGAATTTGCTTGAAACAAAAGCTAAAAAGCAACTCTTAAATGTATAAACAAAGCAAAATGTATAAACCAGGTCAGTGTTTGTGTATGCTGTGCTCATAGTGGTCGTTCTTGTTCCTCTCATCCACCGTGCCTAAAACCAACACTGAATCCTTTGTCTTCCATGTAAACTTTGGTTGTTGTGCTAAGCAGCTACTGACCATGCAAAGCAACAAGCGACAAGTCCAGGGCGTAGTTTTGGTTTGAACAATTTTTATTTATTTATTTATTTATTTTTTTTGCAAAAATGTTTTTTTTTTGTGGGATCATCCACACATGCAAAGTTGGTTGATACATACAAAATTAGGCTAGTTATCAATTACTTGTAGGATAGGCTATATGATGTGTTTTATATAATTTAAACAGGAACCTTATCAGTTTGACAGAATGTTCTAATTCAATTCTATTGAAATTGTTTATTTCCTACTCTTTACCAGTCCATCAGACCCAAAATTATTTCATCTGTCATCTCTTGGAATATTTGAAGGCCAGGTCCTTCCTATCGGCCATCATTAGAACACATTTTACACACTGATTCTAACTCGACCTAATGAAAATGTTCCATAGTTGTGGTGATTGTTTAACCGTAGCATTTGTTACATTAACAAAGGTAAGAGCAGTGATGGCTCCTCATTACCATGCTTAGGCCAAGTTTGACTTTTTTGTTCTTAATCTATAGCATTTGTTATGAAAGACAGTAGCCTTCATATTTAGAAACTATAGCCACAGTCGTAATATAAATCTATAGTGAAAAATCTAGTCCCTTAACAGATTTTTATTATAAATACTTAGTTAAAACAAGGCCAAATTTACCATAATAAACAGGCCAACAACGAACCG